TTTTTCGCCATATCAACAGAAATAAAACTGGAACAGAACACTTTTTGGCTCGAGGTAAAGATGCTAGACACAATTTATAAATCGTTTCATTGACTGCATCAAATTTACCGTTAACTTGATGACTGTAATATGTTGCAGGATGTTTATTTTTTTGTTATGTTATAAGTGTTAATGATGTCACAACATTAACAGCACTGGCCAAACTTTCTCAAACTTAAAACATGACCTGTTCGCAAAAATATTTGTAGTATTTTAGGACTATTTCAGTCACATTTCTGACAACTGTTTAACTTGGATATTGAAACTGTTATGTAAATATAGATTTTTCTCTCTTGTGTCTTGAACTGTAGCCTGTGTAAGAAACGTTTAGCGTGACAAGGGCTTTCGTCAAATTGAATTCCTAAAATTTTTATCGAATTTGTTCTATAAATTTGGAACACACTCCATATCAACCAAAACGATGACACATATCGTGACTTTCCCTTTGAAATATCCTTTTTCGGTATTCCGCACGCAACTAATGAACAATTAATATGAAAATTGCATTTCCTGTTTGCCAGTGAGTGGCTTTTCTTTCTTTATCTAATACCAAGGCTACGTTTTTACTCCATTTTCCAGAAAACCGTACCAGTTAGAATCGTGATACAGGTGTGTTTCAAACGCGTTAAAACGGATCCTGAAAATTTGCATTGTCATTGCAACTTCTAGCATACCAGTAAATTATTACGCACTTTTTACAATGACATTCGTGCATTTAAAATTCTATTAGGTTCAAGTCAAAGTCGCTTTCATTCGACGACAACAATCGATTCTTTTTGAGCTATTAACGAAAGGTGCGAAGGATGTCAGAGCTTTCACTGCACCAGCAAATCCCGAAAAACGGGTTTTTCAACAGAATTTAAGTTATCACTATGCTAGTTTCTGGATGTTTGACGGAAGTTTATGTATTTATACAGTTTTATGTGCAATTAGTGACAGTGAACGTGAACGTTTACCAATCTTGTAACCATGAATTAATCATAGTTATGTCTAATTGAATAGCAATTATTTAAGAATGTGTGGTTTGCAATATTCAGTTATACATAAAAATAAAGTGTACCGATATATTGCTAATTGCAGTTATTTTATTCGTACCTTAGCATATTTACCCAGTTTTTGCACATTTGCATAACTGTAACAAGAACACTGATTATTATTATTCTTGATCGTATGCTAATTAAATAGAACAAGATTCGGTTACAGAATTTCGGTTATTTTAACTTAGCTACGAAAATCTGTGTTTGTATCCGGAAGTATAAATGTTTTGCTCTCGGGGCTATTAGTGTTATTGACACTGATTAGAATTATTATAATATTCTAATTTATGTTGCAACTACGCTCTAAATAACAGCACATGTTGTTTATATATTGAAAACTGAAAGAGTCCTTAATTTTTCTATTTATTTTAAAGTTCAGTAAAATTAGGATTTTTTCTCTTAAAAAAAACCTAAGTATTATTTTGGTATTTAGAAATATTAAAGCGAAAGCAGGTTAATATTTAATACAAAGACTAGAATCTACACTTTTACCATATCATCAAACTAAGACACACTTTTTAGTTATTCAAACTAATATGAATCCAAGTCTAAAAAAATATTTAACCCTTGATAATCACAATAACAAGTTAACTATGAGATATTTGCCGCTGTTAATATTAATCAATTATTGTTTAGCAATTTCTACCCAAACCATAACTGAAAATTCCGAAAATGTCAAAACTGTACAGATGAAAATTTATTAACAATAAATTTATTAACTAAAGTTAAATAATATACACTTAGAAGTACGATCAGTTTAAATTTCGGGACATCATTTGGGTTAGATATTTTTGCGCGAAATTAGTACGAGCCCTAACAACTAAATATTGGGACACCAAAAAATTTTTATAAAAAAATCACCAAACTTTTTAACAAAAATGTAATTTATTTTAGATAATTAAAATTTTAAAATTAATTCGTTTTGCAAAACTGTTAATGTTTACAGCACAACAAAAACTGATTTCTAACTCAAACAGTGACATAAAACTCTAAAACAACGTAATATTTTGTGACACATAAATATTGGGACACAGCAAATTCAGTAACTGGTCATATCTCCTTTTGCCTTAATAACTGTAGGAATTCTTGCCATCATACTTTCAACTAATTTTCTACAATACACAGGAGTTGTTACCGTATCCTACACTGCTAAATTTCCCGTTGAAGATTGACAATCGCTTGTGATGGATGATTTCCTAAATATTTTTTTATTTCACGCCATACCGTCTCTACTGGATTAGGATCTGGGCTATTTGATGATCAGGGCAAACATTTATATTATTATTCTTTGTAATAAGTGTTGTAGGTGTGTAACTTGAAGCATCATCCTGTTGAAAAATATAAATATCAACAGGATAGACTGATTCAGTAGTTGTTAATATTTTTTTACAAAGTCTCTTGATATTTGTTTGAATTTGTAATTTCCCTTCCATGAACGTTGTTGACTGGTCTTTAAATTCCGTTAATAGACATGCACCCCCAAACCATTTTTCCGCTTGCAAACTTGACTCTTTGTTTGAGATAATCCATATTAAAATTCCTTTTTTATTTCAATAACTCTTTTTCGACTATTATCTCACCCAGACATCAAATTTGGATTCAGCGTTATATATTACTTTTCTCCAATTTTTATTTTGCTCATATTAACCGATTTTTCTTGTGGGCAGTTTTTAATTGTGGTTTTACTTTAGCCTAAAATAATATAAATAAATAATAAAGTCCATCAAAGATAGCTGTATTTAAGATTTACAATGTAAAAACCAAGGCCTGATTTGTGTATGCATTCGCAACAATATTGTCTTGAAAAATTTAGTTGGTTATCGCTATTCCAGCAAGTAGTAATTTCTCTTGAAGTAGTCCATCGTCCACTTTTATAAATTTTCATCAGTTGTCGTTGATCACGCGGCTTCACAAGTGATGGCCTACCGGGAATTTTACCTTTTATTCCGATGGTACCTCTGTCTGCGTAATATTTTACGACATTTACCATCGACGACTAAGCTATTTCGAACAAATCCTCACTTTTTCTTAGCGATTTTCCCTTGAGGTACTGAGAAATTATTATTTTCAGAACTTTTACTAAAACTAGCCCGCCGCTAACTATTTTTTTCTAAATAAAACCAACACTAGCATGAAATGCTACGATCCCTATAACAATGGCAGCATTTACCAGCTACTACGTTTGTATTTCGATGGTATACTTAGCAAATTTTGTCGGGTGTCCCAACATTTAAATGTCAGCAAAAATTGCACATTTTTTAGTTAGGTGACAATTTTTGCGCTCTAAGAAAATTTATTAATTTCCAAAATACCTCACCCTCTGCCAAAATAGATGCCCATGCAAAATTTGCATTTAGTCCAAACGAATTGAATGATATCAAAAATATCTACCGGATTTTTTTGAGAAATTATCTGTGTCCCAATATTTAGTTGTTAGGGCTCGTAGATCTGAAATTGGCAGCAACAGCATCAACGCTATGCAACCCATAATTCACTTACACTTTTTTTAATTAAAATCTTACACTCCTTTAGTTAATGCACATTGCATCACGCGCTCTACATCTTCCACTATAACTATTTCCATTTACATAAAAGGAATGTAGAATCGTAACTTCTTGATCGTTATTGCAGTTTTCCAAATGCAATAAACTGGATGCAATGTACTGGTAATGGTTATGTCGACAAGTAACTCACACTGATCTGGATTAGTTAACACAGATTTTAGATGTTACACATAAGTAAGTTTACACCACACTTTATAATAATTATAGAATTTAATTTTATTTTCTCTCTTGTTTGTACAGCACGAGCTTAATATTTAAGTGTTATTACCTTTGACATTTTATTTTCCCATTAAGCTGATTTCGGAGCTTATGTAACAAGTAGAGTCCGAATTGTTAAATTTGTTCAGAATTGCAAATTTGGATGGAATATCAACGAGGATAACTGTGTGGCAACTTTGTGCTAAATTTTATGGAAATCGTTGGTTTGATGATTTCGTTAAATTTTCAAAAAACAAAGTGTTCGTTGTTCCGTAGGTGTTAAAATAATTCAAGCGTTTTGACATTTCGCTAACATGGAAAACGCCCACATTATGAAAATCCTTGGTAAAATCGACGTTTTAGTAAAATAATTATTATTATCGAGTTCGTTCATGTGATAAGCGCTTAAGAAAAAATAGAGTATATGCAATCGGGGATTCAATTTCATAATATCGGGCCCCGCACCTTGTCCATCTTGTAAACATTTATATAATCGATGTGTCTAAACTACCGTAATTTTGTCAAAAATGAAATCATTCAAATTTTTGTGTCGGATACATTAACATAATTAATTTTCTGTGATAATGGGGAAAGTAGTCAAATTTATTATGCAGCTTAAAAGTGGTATCTAAATGTCACCTAATTGGAAAACCTGGGCTCTACCATAATTTGCGAGATTGATGCAGGCCTGAATCTGCAATTAAGTACCGATGTCGACTTATCAGCGATGCTTGTATTTTTATTGGTAGAAAGTTTGTAGGTATATGTTTCAATTCAGTTACGTCTATTAATTTACGACTCTTTATGCTGATATATCGTGAAACTGGTTTTGTTTTCGGCGAAACCCCGAAATTTAGACAATAAGATAACACCGACTCGCTCTTAATGGATGACATAAATTACGCTGCTCGTGTTCCGATAACGATATTAATTCCTACGTGACAGAGAAAGGTGAAGACGCAAAAATGAACAAAACTGACCCCAAATTATGATACTGTAAGTTATGGTTAACCTTCCGGTTGCGCATATGTATCAGTGAAAGTTAAAATCTTAAGATACATCTTATAATCCGAAGTCCCTGCCTCACACAAAGGGGGGCAAACGCCCAGACCTGTATAAAAGTCAAAAACGTTAAGCCTTCGTCACATTCACTTGAGACACACACACATACAATGAGGGCATTCCAAGTAAGACTTGTAAATTAGTAACGAGACAAATTCAAAACAATGAAAATTTTGTATGCATTTTTCTGACTAAAATTTGATTCCTTCCAGATCTGCATTTTGGTACTCGCCATTGTCTGCAGCATCTCCTGTGGAGATGTAAAGAAAGACAAAAGAGGCGTTTTAGGACTGGGATATGGATCAGGTTTGGGCCACCTTGGCACAGGGGGCTTGGCAATTTCCTCAGGATACGGTTTAGGCGGTGGCTCCTTGGGCCTTAGCAGCGGGGCTATCGGACTAGGAAGCGGCGCTATCGGGCTTAGTAGCGGCGCTATCGGATTAAGCAGCGGCGGCATCGGAATTGGAGGTCCTGTCATCGGCATTGGTGGCGGCGGAATTGGCCTTGGCGGCGGAGCCATAGGCTTAGGAGGCCTAGGACTCGTCGGCGGCGGCACCAACACCGTCACCACAATCAACCGAGCAATTCCTGTGCCGGTACCACAGCCCGTCCCAGTGACCGTCAACCGCCCCGTCCCAGTTCCAGTGCCCCAACCCGTCGCTGTTCCAGTGCCACGCCCAGTGCCCGTTCCCGTGCCCAGACCAGTACCAGTCACTGTCACTCGCCCCGTTCCTTATGAAGTACCGCGCCCAGTTCCCGTACCTCAGCCCGTTCCAGTACCCGTTTCTGTGCCACACCCTGTGCCTGTTGCAGTACCACAGCCTGTCCCTGTGACGATTCCTCAACCAGTTCCTGTTAGAGTACCAACACCTGTGGCCGTTCCAGTTGCCCAACCCGTCGCTGTCAGCTCCGGCATCGGCATCGGAGGTGCTGGCATCGGACTCGGCTCCGGAATCGGAATCGGCTCCGGAATCGGAATCGGCTCCGGCATCGGAATTGGCTCCGGTATCGGAGTCAGCTCTGATATTGGGCTTGGTTCCGGTATTGGATACGGTTCCGGTATTGGGTACGGTTCCGGTATTGCCGGTTCTTCCATTGCTTTAGGTTCCGGATTGGGACATGGAGTTGGTTTGGGCTCTGGAGCTGTTTTAAGCGGAGGCCACGGCGTTGCCATCGGAAAGGGATGGTAACTCATTGTCTGTGAACACTATTGATCTAAGTCTCATGTGTAAAATTTAGTGTAAATACGTAAATATAAATTTATTTTTTACTAAGTTGATTTATGATTTATCGAGAGTGGATTTGTTGATGCTGAGCATTATTGACAATTAGAGCAAATGAAAAAATAAAGGCCAACGCTGGTACGCAAGTAGGTTGTGTAACTGCAGAGGTTGAAAAAATGTAATAATGCTGACTTTGTCAAGAAAAGCGTAAAACGCCACACCTAGTCCCTGAGTCATAATTTTTATTCTAAAGATTGTTACAAATACCAGATACATATTAAGTATATTACACCACCATTACCTGTACGTAGAAGGGTATTATACCCGGATCGTTTTACGCAAGGAGTTTAAGTCGAACTAACAAAGAGTGAGTATTAAACCAGCAAATTTAAATTTTTAAAATAGATTTATGACTTTTGCAGTAAATTAATTAATTAGATAGGTAATTTTTAGGACTACAAAATGCATATTAAACAGAAAATTTATTGTCATTAACTTCTAAGTTACGACAAAAGCTGACACTTCGAAGTTATCATCAAACATATTATTCGTATGATTATGTAACGTGAGTGATACGTAGAGTTGGTTTTGGGGACGTAGACAAATTTTCTGTAACGAGATGTTGACTGAACTAAAATCATTACTTTAGGATGTTAAGGGTCCCCAGTCGTCGGCCGCAAAATCGGTTTCAGTGAGAAGAATTATTTTTTATAACTATGCAACCCAAAGTACGGATGCACGGCAGGTAGCGACCCAAGAGAGGAGAGATTATGGTCACTGTAGGGAGTCCGTCATAAAATGCAAATCGGTAAACAACACCAGATAAGCTTATTTATTTTGGAATGAAGGGTACAGGGAAATAACCATCGAAATCCATTTCTATCTATTTTGAGAGAAATTGAATTGAAAGTTTAAAATGCGGAAAATAGATTGAGAAACCCACAAGGTTCAGTCTAACACAACTTTTTATTTTCTTTATAATGTTTTAAAAAGATATAAAATAAAGTGTTTATGTTCAAATATAACAGCAAGAAAAATTGGTGGAAAGTTGTTTCGACAGAACTTCCCTCGCCCCTAAAATACAATGAAACATATCCAGCATTTTCGAGTTAAATTTTTACTTTAGGTACACAATTTTGTGATGAAATCATCAACATTTTGCAACGACACGTAAATCAATGTGGATTAGACTAAAAATAACAGTATTCCAAAAATTTATGGGAAAATGGAGTGAGTCGAGACTGATTTAATCAATAGAATAAATTGACTCATTCATTAATTTTTTGAGCCATCTAGGTATATAAGCAAATCTAAAAAAATATGAATGCAATGATAAATTACAATTACAAACTCATCATATTTTGCACATTTTTAGTAGAATTTATTCAGCAAAATTTTGAGATGATGTTATCAATTTTTTAGTAGCATAATCCTGAGATAATTATTGAGATTTTTCGACTTTTCGGTTTTTCGATTTTTCAACTTTTGATGTTTCAATTTTTCAGTATTTTAATTTTTGACATTTTCAATTTTTCCATTCTTGAAATTTTCGATTTCTCCATTTTCTTATTTTTCGATTTCTCAATTGTCCGATGTTTTACTGATACGATTTCGCAATTTTTCAACTTTTCGATATTTTAATTTTTCAATTTTTAAAATTCTAGATTTTTCGATTTCTCCAGTTTTTAGTTCTTCTATGCATATTTCAGTTTTTCAATTTTCGGAATTCATTATATTTCTGATTTTCCATTTTTTTTTTAATTTTTCGATTTTCCAGTTTTTCGATGTTTCGATGTTCAATTTCAATTTCTCGATTTCTAAATTTTAGATTTTCATAAGTACACGTTTAATTTGGCAAGTGTTACTGTATTTAGAAAATTTCAGGTAATTTATTAATTTATTTGAAACACCATTACCAATAATTAAAAAAAAAGTGTACTTTCTTAAAACAAATAAGATATATACAAACCAAATATATAAAAGGACATATTAGCCTGTGAATTTTACGAGATTTACTCAACAAAATTTTGAGATGATACCCTTAAATTTTTAAAAGTGATCGATCATCACATAGTGTTTTACCATCATGTTAACCATAAGCTTAAAGTGTGTGTAAAATTTGTGTTATCTAATGACTAGGAGGCACATTGAGGCTTCAGTACCGTAATATTTTAATATTTCATTTAATAAGTAAAACCGTTTTTTATTTACTTAGACACAATCATTTTACACACCGCACTTAGACTTTCTATCGTGCTGGTATCATATACCTGTACAATTGTACATGGAATTATACAACTCAACAATTCAACTGATGTGTCACTACGAGCAAACTCCATCGTCGCAGGTAATATAAGACTTTTATCTCATTTTTAACTAATATTATTAGTAATAATTATCAGATATTGATGAATATTAAAGTTCTATCCAAACTGCTGTATCACTTATTAAGGACGAGGAACTATCTACAAATTCCATTTTAATAGACATATGTATTTACCCATTTTTTCTTAAATTAAAAATTATGAAACATGCTTATTCATTTTAAACTTGTTCATCAACCGACTACTTTTTATAGTCATTACCAAGTTGTTGCTGTTAGCAGTGTTTGTACCTACCAAGCGGAAGCTAAGGAAGTATTGTCATTGAGTCCATCGGGAGAATGGCAACTTTTACATTTTCTCGATGTGTCATGACCTCTAGAGTACAAAAATATAGGTTTCCCGTTTAAGTATGTCTGTCTGTATGTTCGCCGCCTGTGTCAATTTTTGTTAGGCAGATAATTTCCGAAACTACCGGACCAATTGTTATCAAATTTTATATGTGTATTATGTACCTATAACATGGAGGTGGTGAAAAGCTAACCAAATTTTGTATAAGCATCCCCACCAATAATATGATGACATCACCTCAAAATTGTACACAGTAAATGGGTTTTAAATTATATAAAATAACGTAGTCTTACACCTGTAGTTTATGAATCCGTGTTGACTTTTTATCCGATATATCCAGATTTAAAAAAAAAGTGAACATTGTATAACATTTTGCAATTTCATTTTGGCTCTGTAAATTCAAATGTTTTCAAATCTTGCAGACATTTTAAAGTTACTAGTATGGCAAATTTATAATTAAAGTATATTTGTTTATCTCGCTCAAAAAATTGATGATATTATCTCAAAATTTTTCCTAATCAATCGTATATAAAATGTGCAAAATATGATGAGTCTATATTTGTGAATACTGCATTATATTTTTTTGGAATTATATGATCGTTTTCCGGGTTGGGACTGTGTCAATTGAGTTTTTGGATCAACGTTTCGCACACTTTCGTAAGTGGCATCTTCAGGAGCAGGGTTGAGAAATTAGGACGAACGCAAAAGGGCACCGTAACTCAGTATGTCAATCATACCAGAGGCGAAACTCTTCTGGATTGACATACAAATTGAGATACGTGTCTTTGCAAAAATGTCGATGATGTCATCACAGAACTTTATAACGGAACAACTCATTTGAAACATACGTTTAACACGCTTCTTTACATCCGTAAAATCAAATTTAAAATTTTTCGAACAAGGTGGAAATGTTTTATTGTACAGTCGGTTGATATACAGGGTGTCCCAGAATTCGCGCCATTCCCGTGAATGACATGTTCCCTGTCCCGAACTGTGCTGTAATTCGCAAAAAGAATTGTCCAGGCTTTAACCGTGTGAGAACTGAAAGGCGATTAAGTTGACCAATAGAGAGGCTGCTTTTATATCCGAACGTTTCTATGTTCAAAGTTACCTATGCCAAGAACAAAAAATCCGGTAATACTAAAGTTGAATGAATTTTTTCCGAATCCCCCTCCGTCAACAAAAGGAAACAGAAGTGTGGTTATAAATTTAATCATTTTGACAATTGTTTGTCATAAACTGTCACGAAGTTCATCACTGACCTGAACAGACGCTTCTGCCCCCAAAGATGACTGATTAATGTACACAGAGACGTCAAGGTTTACTTTAAGGCAAGTAGCATGGGACAGAAGTTATTTCTGCTGCCATTCTAGTTAAATTGTGTTTAACTGGGCTGTACATGTCATAAAAGAAGCTGTTTCATTTCATCGTAGGCAAATAATACATTTATTACTATTCGACATAGTGTAGATACCGAAGAGCAGGTATTAGAAGTCATTTTCTTAGAGCCCCGTGAATAATGTGTTGTTCTTTTTAACGAAAAGTAGTGCATTTTCAGAATTCACTATGCATCATATCCCTGATATTAAGTTTATCATTATTTCTAAAAAAGAGTACCACATGTTCATTCAAAGAACGTTATTAAGTGTACTAAAACATAAATATCGCTTTTGATTAATCGGTGCTTATGATTTTCAATAAACAGTATCAATTTTTACCGAACAGCTTTGTTGCTGATACCTAATCTAAGCAACGAAAAAAGAGACGAGACTCCACTTCTCTGGTGTATTGAAATCATAGGTATCTGCTGTGGTGGCAATCATGTGGGGGAGATACTGAAAACGGAGACTTATTCAAGAATAATATTGATGTTGCACATGATGATTTAAAACAGTTTCTTTAAAGTTGTGAGTACTTTCTAGAGATTGAAAAGATCCGAATAAAAAATGTGACAAAAATCGTTTAGTTGCATTTTTTTTATTTAAGGACAATACAAACTATAAACAAATCAGTACCAATACCACTAAGTCACTGATGTCTTATTCATACTAGTATAAAGAATATTTGGAAATGATGTTAATTTATGGAGAATGTAAACGCTCTGCAGCCACTGCTGTGCGCGAATATACAGGTCTTTTCCCCAACCATCGGCTCCTTGACCAGCATGTGTTTCGTCGTTTGTTGCATCCAGCAAAAGAAGATGGATCTTTTTAGCCTATTCGGAAAGGCCTTCCTGGGGCTACACGGATTATACGCGTAGACGGTGAAGAACAAGTGGCACAAATGAATGGATGCTCAAGATCGATCATGCATCGTATCCTTACAGACAAAAATCTGCATCCTTACTATTGACGAAAATGCAGCATCTGCGACGAGCCGACTGCGCGACGAGTGCATGTTGCTCAATGGTTACTGCGACAAAATGAACTAAATCCTGATTTTTCACGGCACATTCTTTTCGCCGACGAATGTTCATTTTCCCGAAAAGGAATATTTAATGCGCACCATTGGCACTTCTGGGCAAACGAAAATCCATATTTCGCTAACGTGAGAGCATATCAAGAGCAATACTATTAATCTATGGGCTGGAATCGGGTATTCGGTTGGTCCCAGATGCTGCACTCTCGTGTAATGGTAAGGATGCAGTCTTCCCTCTTGAAGGATACGATGAGTGGTCGATCTTGAGCATCCACTCATTTGCGCTACGCAGCGGACACTTCTCCTAGGATCCGCTTCCATCAATATTATTCTTGAATAAGTCTCCGTTTTCAGTATCTCCCCCACATGATTGACACCACAGCAGATACCTATGATTTCAATACACCAGAGAAGTGGAGTCTCGTCTCTTTTTTCGTTGCTTAGATTAGGTATCAGCAACAAAGCTGTTCGGTAAAAATTGATACTGTTTATTGAAAATCATAAGCACCGATTAATCAAAAGCGATATTTATGTTTTAGTACACTTAATAACGTTCTTTGAATGAACATGTGGTACTCTTTTTTAGAAATAACGATAAACTTAATATCAGGGATATGATGCATAGTGAATTCTGAAAATGCACTACTTTTCGTTAAAAAGAACAACACATTATTCACGGGGCTCTAAGAAAATGACTTCTAATACCTGCTCTTCGGTATCTACACTATGTCGAATAGTAATAAATGTATTATTTGCCTACGATGAAATGAAACAGCTTCTTTTATGACATGTACAGCCCAGTTAAACACAATTTAACTAGAATGGCAGCAGAAATAACTTCTGTCCCATGCTACTTGCCTTAAAGTAAACCTTGACGTCTCTGTGTACATTAATCAGTCATCTTTGGGGGCAGAAGCGTCTGTTCAGGTCAGTGATGAACTTCGTGACAGTTTATGACAAACAATTGTCAAAATGATTAAATTTATAACCACACTTCTGTTTCCTTTTTTGACGGAGGGGGATTCGGAAAAAATTCATTCAACTTTAGTATTACCGGATTTTTTGTTCTTGGCATAGGTAACTTTGAACATAGAAACGTTCGGATATAAAAGCAGCCTCTCTATTGGTCAACTTAATCGCCTTTCAGTTCTCACACGGTTAAAGCCTGGACAATTCTTTTTGCGAATTACGGCACAGTTCGGGACAGGGAACATGTCATTCACGGGAATGGCGCGAATTCTGGGACACCCTGTATAAAACTTGTACAAGTAAAATTTTGTCAGTATGTAGCAAGCTACTTAATTGTCAATCAACTGTAACTCAAAAATTAAATTTGTCATCTTCACAGTTGCAAGTTTTGCAATAGTAATCTAAAAATGCCTCTAACTGGTTTTCAGAGGCATATAATTTTACAAAGACTTGACAAGCGAATGCCCCTAAAAGTTATTGCAGCTGATGAACTGCATGTCAGCAAAAGTACAGTTTAATTGGTGAAGAGAAAAATTGAAAATTTTGGGTTCTTTAACGGAAATCAGGTACAGAACGTCCAAAAATTGCGGCTGAAGATGAAAATTTTCAAGTTACTCCACTCGCTCTAACGTTTATTTTACTGAAGCGTTATTGTCATGGTATATAACCTTGGCGTAAAAAACTAATTTACACAGGATAACTTTCTAGGTCATCCGTTTTTTTTGACAATTTTGTACCAGTTTTTGAGTTTTATATGTATTATGTCTGTCGGCTGTACTTCAAGAGCTAAGGAAGTTCTGTCGAAGGAACCTTCGACCATTTTTTTTTGTGATGGATAAGTACACCCATTGCCAAATTATCTTAATTTGCTTGAAATTTTTTAACAATACAAGTTTTCATAAGAAACGTCTTTAGTAATTTTCACATCTGCATTACAGTATTTTTTGGTATATGTTTTATTGTAGTACCAAACACTTGGATGCTTGTATTGGAGTAGTCTTTATAAAAAAATTAAGATATTTATAGTACTTAAATTGACAGATTTCAGTTTTCAGATAAAATATTCTGTATTTTATTTCTCTTTTTTTTTTATTTTTTGACACATCAAATACTGAGAGCGAAAAAGAGAGAAAAGGACAGAGAGAATAAAAATATACCTTCTATATTATGGATATTTGAACATTATAATACTATTATAGAATTCTCTTATAAACGTTTTTATAGTAAGATTCAATTTTGCATACCATTCCATTGTAAATGAATTTCAAAAGTAAAACACCATTATAAAATCTAAGAACAAGCCAATCAGCGCATGTAAAATATTAAGGTGTCCTGTTTAAAAAATTCAATTGTTACAAACAAAACACTCGGTGTAGTTAAAAAATAATCTTAACTACGGTTATATAATGAATCGTTATAAACCAAAATTCCATCTTCAAATTATTCAGAGTTACTTCTTAGTTCCGCAATTATCTATTATCATTTGCACTATGCGTATTTCTGACGCAATTTGTGCATAGTGTTCTAAGAGGACGCAAATGCATATTATTTTCTTGGTTTAAATATATATATTTTTAATGGGCCGACCCTTTTTATTTACCGAGCGTAAGTTGAGGACGAATTGTCACTTTCATATTTTCCCTACGTTTCATGACCTCTAGAGTACGAAAGAAGTGATCTCCCGTTTTCGTCTGTCTGTCTGTTTCAATTTTAATTATTATCTGAAACTACTGGACCGATTGCTGTCAAACTTTGTAAGTATGTTATTAGGAATATCACGTATATGCTAACCAAAATTTAGATAATCACCCTAACAAAGAATTTGATAATGTCCCCTCGTTTTTTAGGAAACGTCATTAAAATTTTATACAGTAACATATTGGTCTATTGTAGCAAAGGCATCAAAATTGTTGTCACTGTTGCCGCTGTATTATCTATATATATTATTTTTTATGTATAGCGGTTACCACAAATATAATGTCGCAAAACCAAGTTGTATGATTTGTTAAAGAAGCGGAATGTGTTAGATTTTACTTTAAAGGAGAAGGAAGTTCTATCGAAATAACTTCGACTATTGTTGCTATTGCGTTCCCATTATTATTTTCTTACGTGATTAGACCAAATTTAGAACGAATAACACAAAGCAAAATTTTTGACTGATTTCAAATTTAATGTGTTTTTCTATTTAATAATGGTTGCGACAATCGCATTAGGGTTTAAACAATAATTTTTCGTTCAACAATAATCATTTTAGGTGGCAACAGAGTTGCGTGCAATATCGACAGGAAATAAACTAAATTTTGAGTACGTCCTTTGAGGAAACAATAAGAATTTTCATAATGCTTACAGCGATTAATTAAAGGATAGTTTTTGTTAAAAAATAAAAATAATTTTCATTTCCGTCGAAAGTGTATGTGCTACGATGGACAAGAAATAGACTGAATTTATTGTGTATAATCTGTTCAAAGTATGCAGATGGAACACGTCGTATATGATTTATTTTCGTCTTAGATAACAACTATTTATTCAGCAAAACATGAATCAGTCAATCAAATAGATATCGCTTTATCATTAATCTACATTTGCCGGGAGATAAAATTATTAGACGTCAGTTACATACGTTGTTATTAACTATATTTTCACATTGTGAATTAAGTTGTGATTTAGTGTAAAATGCGGTGGTTTATTTTTTTAACAATTCTTAAAATTATTTATTATTTGTTTGTGGGAATTTGTGTAATTATTAATGCCTCAGGTAACAAAATAATATATGAAAAGTGATTGTTTAGAAAATTCTAATTTACAGCTCTTATAAATTATATACCTTTGCCAGCAATATTTTTCGTCAGTGTTGTATTTCAACTAGCTCTGTTAACAGCATTATTCAAGGTAATTCTAACTCTACTCCTACATTTTGAATTATATATACCTTTCCTATCAAGGTCCCTTTATAGTGATTAGGTTAGGGTATATCATGGCCTTGAACAGACATATAGTTACTTTTTCCCATTACATTGCAAGAGCGATTTTGCCGAAACTGGCATTGTGTTTACAAAACCTTTGTAGCCAGGACGTAATCACCGTCAGGGTAGTTCACAACAATATCCCAAAAACTCTAGCGAGGTACTTTCTACGTCACAAATGAGTGGTGGCTCCCTATCCCCCTGTAACAGGTCTGTCTACAAACTCGCTGTATGCACTAACCTAGTCAATATTAAGGAACCTTGCTTTCCTATACATTAATTTATTAAATCCAAGCACCATATCTAAAATGAATTCAGAATTATTGTTTGCCTGGATTTCATAACGATTAATAATAATTTGTCGACAGCAAAATCCTACATTTTTTATATATTTGGATTCAACATGAAAATTTTCTTGCATAGATTTTTTTTCGAAAAATGTTTTTTAGTGACGTGAATATCTTTTTAGTTCTTAAATAAATAACTAAAATTTTCAATAGATGTTATGGTGGTTTGAGGAACTCTTAAAATAAAGACAGCATTTGCATTTCTTTCAACGAAATTGCAGTCTCATACAGTTGTGTGTCTAAAAATCCTAAATGAAAAAATCATATATTTTAGCTTTCACTTTAAAAGCGACCACCGATTTTTAATAGTTATTTATGTATTAAGGGCATAATCAGGGAGATTGTGGCACGCGGGAATGTTTAAAGCCCGACGAAGGAGGGCTTTTAATTTCCCGAGTGCCACAATCGACAATTACGCACGTGGTACATACAACGTTTTATTCTATTTTAGTTTCTAAACTATTTTTAACGAAATATTGAGTATTTTCGGCAAGACTGTGTGAATTGTGCCGATGCATAGCTGGCTATTATTTTGATGTTGTTATGGATACCACGTTGATTATTTGATAATTCGTTTTTCAAAATGCAAATTAAAGAAGCGGAAAACGTTCATTCAAAAGAAAGTTTAGAAGAATTTGAAGTCGGTCAGGTAATGATTTGAAAAAATATTATTTTGAATATCGAAGCTTGTTTGAATAATTAATTGAGTAGTGTAAATGAACAGTCAATTGTTGCTTAGCAATTTTTGATAGATTTGTGCGATACAGGCCAACTTACGCCCGCATTTGGGTGCTTATAAACAACATTACGATTCTAAAATGGAATAAAATAAAGTATTGTTATGAAATAACCCATACGCCGCCTCGGTACGACGCCTATGGGTTCTCTAGTACGTACGCCGTCCCTGTAACTCATTATCAGTGACGGCGGCACTCTAATAAAGACAAGTCTGGATAGTGGATTCCAGAACAACCTCGTACGGTAATCGCGATTTTTCCAGAAGAAGCGTGCGGTTGTTTAAATAGGGACCTCGGAAGCAGGTTAGTCTAATCCTGGGGTCGGTTAATAAACTTGAGTCAGAATTATTCGCTGTTATATTTTCGCTATTAGTCGTATAAATTTGTATTACAGAGAAATAAATTGTTGAGTTTTACCCATGCCGATTTTAATTACCGATCAACGTAATAGTATCTACTTCTAAGTCCACATCTGCCATGAATGTTATTATAATATTTAAATGCGAATGCTATTATTGTTGAGAAAACAATCGGAAATAATTAAACTTAATTTTATGAACTGCTTATAATTATCAAACTTTTTTTGTAAAAATTGGTTAATAATTCACTTGGTCTTATTTGTTAAATCTCATAGCACCTTTATACTTTTGTTATTAGAAATGATAAATTTACATAATTATTTTTTAGGCTATAAAATGTATGATGGACATTTGGATAATATTTACGTTTATTGAAGTCATAGGAGTCCTAGCAACTCTAGTGTATGTTGAATCGACGCCACATTACTGGTTGTATTTCCCACTGTATTTAAGTAAGTATGCAAAGGTTTTAACGTCTATATTTATTTCATCTGAGACTATTTCAGTATCACAAATATATAGCATATGTAGGGTATTCTCTTTTCGAGGAGATCACTTAAACTCTAATTCAGAATATGAAATACTTTCGCCATCATAATACTCAGTGTCTCTCTATGCAAAATAATATGAACATAATTATCAATAAATTATTTTACTTAAGCACTTTTAAACTTGTAAAATTGTACTTGTTTTTTAAATAAAATTGTTGAAACTATGTTAGAAAAATATTTCTTTTTTATATTTATTATTGTCCTGCGAATTGTCACAATACCTCTGAAAAAAATAAGCGAAGGGTGTTTTTTCTTATAACTGAAATGATAGACATATTTTAGATCTTGTTTAGAGTCTGTCAGGTAAGTCAGAGAAAAGTCCGAAATTGCATTCGTCCCTATTTTTTTTGAAATTTTCCGGATAAATGGATGATTGTTATTACATTTAATTTTAACCAGTGGCATGGGAAATGTTGTTTAGTTTAGGCATAGTTTAGTATACAAAACGTATTTCATTTAATAGAGTGACTAAGTTTTATAGTTGAAATGTTTCCGAAACATTACAGTGAGTCATTTGGATCCGACAATTCACACTTCTCCAGTGGCGTATCACAGACGCTTACCATCGGAGTTAAAATATTAAACACAACCCAAATTCAAGTAATGAAGTTTAGTAAATATATTAATCCTTAAGTAGGTGCACTGCGATCAAATTGTCCCAAATATAGTTATAATTCTGGAAAATAGTGAATACTGTACACAAGCAACAGATATATGACGTACGCCGCTGAGTAACGTCGGTCCCTTAAATTTAAAAGTCGACTGTCACTGTCGCAATTTCGTCTTTCGCGCAGGTTTATCTGTGTGCTACTTAGGAGCAGTTTGGTGGATTATTTGTTTGTGTTTGCAACGTTTGTTTATAAATAAAATAAAGTTTCGTCATTATCTACAACTATTTTTTTGCAACCAGCTAAGTAACTTTATCTCACTTTATAGATCTTTTGAGCAAACGTGTTATTATTTCAATTGCGGTATACATATTTTTAATGGAGAATTTCAATTCCGGTCCAGGTCGAGCATTCACAAATAGGACATGGTAGATCGGGTCTGCGGTCATCTGAGCTCCTTAGGCATGGCATCAACTTCGGTTCGACAAATATCTACCTCATCCTAATTACGTTTACTTAGTGCGGGAACACATTCAATTCATTTCGGATTAGGAAGCGAAGTACCTTAAAATTCACGCAAACAATATTAGCTTTCATGGAGTTACAAAATTTGTTAAAAATTAAAAAAACAATAGTGTTATGTTTATTATATGAGACACATTTTACAAAATCGTATTGCAAATTTTTTTGCGATATAAATTCTGCCGTTATCTAACTTCTTAAGACCCACCACTGACCCGGAAATGACCGGCATTCAGGCAAGACTTCTATCATTACGGGTACTAAGACCAAGTAATGATATGCATTGATTAGATTAACAGAACAACTTTCGAGATTCTAGAATTACAGCATACAAATTAGTCTGCTATTATTCTCTAATCTCACCCCATCTACTTTCTGACTTATTTATTATTATTCTATTAGTTTCACGTTCGTTTGTATGTAAAGTTTAGAATAAGTGCTCTTATCAGTTAGGACCGGAGTTAAGACGAGGGATTAAGGCACTCCAGGTACCAGTATAACGAGAGATGACCTTGGACCGGAGTTGGTGATCCACCGTTTTTAAAAGCATACATTCTGTTGGATCATTTTGTGTCATCAAAATACTTTGCAATTGTGTGTACTATTGTTGTCGATTAGGGTTGAGTTCATGTCATTAACACATATAATAAATAATAATGGTTATTGAATTTTTCCCTGTGACACGACTAAGTTTTACTTTTTCTAGACATGATCTCTAACGTCTATAATTTTTTTATATTTTTGCCTGAAACAACATTTTTAAATTCAAGAGCATGTAGACTACGTTGAAACTAATTAAAGATAGCCGTTTCTTTTGATTTATATTTTAGATATTTCACTAAAAAAATACCGGTTTTTAAACTATATCTACTTGGTACTATTGTATCAGCTTTTTCATTTCCTTTTTCAGCAGGGTGATATTCAGTTTATACGATAAAAAATATATATTCTAACAAGTTATTAATAATAAGGAAGTTAATAATTACGGAGTTCTCGCATGTAGAGTATATTAGTTGATATTTCATATTACCTGCACGCATTGTTGCAACAAGAAGAATAACCTTCAGCTTTGAACATGAAACCAATTGTAAGTAATAAAAAATTGGGCTAAAGTTATTTATACAGAATTTCCCTTGCCCTGAAGTACACTACAGCTTTTTGGAAAAATTATAAAGATTAATTCTCTGAATTTATTTTTTTTCATGATGACACCTATAAGTTAATATAAAGATATGTATGTGTACTGGTACAGTAAATTTAAAGAAGCTTGCTATGCGTGTTACTTTTTCCATTACAAAATTCTGTCATGACGGCACAAACATTTTAGCAAGGATACGTATCAATTGGGATAGGGGCAGTGTGATATGAATAAGAACAATACTGTTTTCCCTAAATTTAGATAGAATTTATTCGGCAAAATATTGAAATCAATTTATCAATTGTTGAAAAAAGGTGATAAACGGTTCCAAAAATTTTGAGGTCTAGGGTAAAAAAATCAAGACGGATTCATAAACTAGGAGTGTAGGAGTACGTTATTTTGTAAAACTTAATTAAAAGTTATTATTCAAAAGTTTGAGGTGACGTCACATTATTGGTGGAGATGTTTAGACAATTTTGGTTAGCGTTTTACCATCTATATATTTCTAAAATACATCTAAAATTTGATAATAATCAGTCCAGTAGTGTCGGAGATTATCTGCGTAATAAAAATCGACACGTAAGATCAACATCAGGCAGGCAACAGAATACTATTAAAAATGCAAGTACTCTCTTAACTAAATAGATATACATATAACTATTTTGAAAGCATGATAAAGTTATGCGAAAAAAGAGTACGATAAAAAATGTATTTGTCGAAAACTTCTCACCACATTGTAAAAAGTAAAAAATGGAGATTATTATTATTGTTCCAAATTACACAACAGTCGATTGTCTCTAGAAAAGATACCTCATGGTCTCTATTCGAAAACAAATAGATAAGAACATTTTTCTACTCATTAAGGTTGAAGTTTGTCATTTTCCCATCGCTGGCAGTGGATGAAATTTCATTTCACCCTCTAGTGGAAAAATACTCGGCCGTCTACGATTTTAACGGGTCGTCCAGCCTGAGCGTTTCGCAGCTAGCGAAACGTGTCGCGTATCGCCTGCACCGACCGCACCGTCCGCTTCGCGCGCTTCGAAAATCATGACGCCTAGGCTGGACGACCCGTTAGTGTTTGACGTTTAATACTGCTAGTTTACACAAGTGAAAACAATGAACATGAGTGAGACTGACGAAGTTTCTGAAGAAATTTTGAATGCTGCCAATGCGGCATTTTCGAATCTGATACCCGAAAAGTCTAAAAAGTTTTATGAGCTAACATACCGAAAATTGTTCTATTACAGTTAATGTATTTCAAAAATAAAATACCTACCATAAACAAACATTTATTTCCTAATTTCTTAGAAAAAATAGTATATGCAACTCGCGGATGAAGAAATTTCAACGGCTCGAGTTTCTTTTTCGCACTCGCTCGTTGCACTCGCTCGTGTGAAAAAATCACTCTCGCCGTTGAAATTCAACTTCATCCACTAGTTCCATAATGTACTATTATTTTGTATATATTGGTTTTAATATCACACAAAATTTTAATACTTTTTGCTTTACTTACTACTCAATAGCACCTACCCACTAGCTGATAATTTGTGTTTTTATAATTAAAAGATTGTAATAGAAAAATATAATTTTCTTTCATTGCGTAAGTCTGCTGTCCAGGATTTTAATCAGTGTATGACAGATTCGTAGGTATTGTTTTAAATTTCACTAATTCAATTTTTAAGCTCTTCTACAATATCGTCTAAATAAAACCAAGATGTTCAGTTTTCGATGTTAGATAAGATAATAGTCATTAACGCATTTCCATTTACGTCAATGAGATTAAATTTTGAAATAACTTACAATCATTTATATTACTTTGTAATGTAACAGTTTACCAGCATGTTGTTTAAAATTTTTAAAGTGGATGATACTTCCAAAACCACCGCTTGTAAGGTGGCTATATTTAATCTAGTAAGTTAAATAAGTTAAATGTTTAAGACTAGATGCATTATTTTACTTATACTATCCTAATTGTAGATTTTGACATTTCTGCTAAACATAACACTAATTGGGGTTATTTCTGTTCTTTTTGAATTTGATGACAAAGTCACAGCTGGACGTAAGTATGAATTTTGATTAGTGTATAACGTCTTAATTGAAACAATTTCAGATATTAGTCGCTTGATTTGGGTGGAAGTTATTTTAAACTTCCTTTTTTATCCATTTGCAATAGTCTTACTACTTGGTGTGAAAAAAGTGAGTGTTTAATATATCTAGGTACATTTAAAAACGAATTTATATTTGTAGGATAATTACAAATGGATTAGGATTTGGATTAAAGCAAAAGTAGTACAAGCATCTTACATACTTCTCCTTAATCTGGTCATGCAGGTTTATGTATCAGCCTCTATAAGTATTGGTGATGGTTTGATCGTTTTGGCTTATACCCTGATAGTTGAGGGTAAGATCAAGATTATATTGTAATCAGAAATTAACAATCTGTTTTAGTGTTCTACATGGATCATATTATTTTTATGAATAATTACCACCGTCACAAAGAATCTGAAGAAGATGATTCACAACTGAAAGAAACGATACCTGAAAGTGTCGTTATAAGATTTTGAAGGATGCACATTTTTCAGAATCACACTTGAAGAGTGACAGAAGTGTCAAATACCGTGTGCCTATATTAGGTATCTAAGTGTGGAACTAGCCGCAAACGCAAATTTAGTACTTTTATTGTACATTCTTCCATCTCTCTACAATACAAAAGAAAAAAATCAGTACACTCTGATGATGCCATAAACAATATATTATTGAAGTGTTTATACTCAAAATCATCACTTCAACAATTTCATGAGAGCACATATTTATTTAGAACTGAAGTATATTTAAATTTTTTTCTGTTATTGTTCAGATGCAAATATCCATGGAACAGTATTTTAAACTCAATTTAATTGTTTAGTTTAGATGATATTAAAAACTATAATCTCATGTTTTTATAATAAATAAATTCTTTGGAGAGTTTTTCAGAACCTAGTACTTATGTTTGTTTGGAAATTGTCTTAAAATTATCTTTCCATAAAAATTTAATCACAAGTAAAAGAATAATTCATTTTATAAGATACGCTGAAAGATGTGTATGTGTCTAACTATCATCTGTGCAGAAATCTGAAATATTTTGAAAACTATTTATCAAGAGTTTTAATAGTTCCTGTAAAATAAAAACTTCTTCGTTAAGTGAAAAAAAAAAAAATTTAGATATTAAGATTACAAGTGTAATATTTTTTTTAAGGAATTAAGATTTTCATTTATTTTTAACATAGATACAAACAATGAAGATAATTGTCAAAATCCTGTTGGTCAAAAAGATTAACATCATTACTGCAATTAAAAGTTATCTTTCACTAATCTAAGCAAATAATTTATGGACAGAGGAGCTTTAATTAAAATCTCAAAATTTGGAAACAGAGAACCGTCAACATTAATTTATTATATAATTATCAATTTATTTTGTAGCAAATTGTCTTTTAAAAATTAAGATCATTAAAAAATTTTGAAAAATCGGCTTTTTAAATACTTTTGGACTTCTAAGTAAAACTGAATTTAAATTTTTGACTATGTAAGCTAACATTTAAAGTTATAATGTAGGCAATCTTCGCATAATTTGGTTGTTATGTATGTTGCACTTGATAATTTTAATATATTTTTTATAGAGCTGATACAGTAGATAACGCATATTTTCTGTTGTAAAAATTATATTTTTCTATTTAAAACAAAGAGAAAAGAAAATCCCCAATTATAATAGATAACAAAGAAACTAAAATTATGACTAAATCTCAATCTGCGTCAATTTTCGTTGTTATCTAAAGTCACAATATGTGTGTTGTGATAAGTATTTATTTCACAAGCGAAGTAACAATTCTATCATAGGAAAAAACCTGTTTTTACTAAAAAATATGTACATTCAGGTGATCCTTTCAAACTGCATTACATGCTCACCGCATATTGTAAAATTTATGGTGTCACTATTATCTAAAGTCAAAATTGTCTGTTGTGATAAGTATGTATTTCACAAGCGAAGTAACGTTTTTATCATAGAAAAAAAAATAGTTTTTATTAAAAAAATACATTCTGGTGATCCTTTTATAATGCAGTATATTTTTAGCTCATATTATAAAATGTGTTGAAATAAATATTTTTATTTTTGTAAGAAAATGTTAATTCTTATGTAAGTATCTATATTTTTTGTGTACGTAGCACGATTTCATTAACCCATGTAATTTTTTTAGTAAGCGGTAGGGACGTTTAGATCTACGTATCTGAACGTAGTCTGAGATAACAGTAAAAACGTACATTTTATATACGTAATAGTATTTGAACTTATTTAGTTAAAACACATATAATTTGTTAGAGAAATTAAACTAATCGCATTATACTTACACGAGTTACAGGATTTAAGTGTTCACATAAAGCTGCGCTTTTAATTTGAGGAAACTCATAGATTAAAATTATAAAAAACGTTTAGGTACTGAAAGAAATATACTAAGTTATTTGCTCTATTCATATTGTATACCAGCAGTACAGTTTTTATTAGTAAAACTGTTTAGGTGTTAGTGTGCTTCTTAATTAAATCTATTATGAAATTTAGTGAAAAATATATAAAAGCACACTGCTTTTTTTTTGTTTGATTCATATTTTTCTACTTGCTTTAACATACTTACTTATACCTGTATTCTGCAGTATTGTCGAATTCTATGACAATTGGACACTGAATGCAATTATTGTTATTGGATTACATCATTAAAATAGTAAAAAAATATTATTTTTTCCTATATAAGGTAGCAACATTAACTTATTCCATTCAGACGGAAATATTACGTCGCGTGTCTCTAGTGCCTTTACAATGCACACAATTGATTTTTAAACAGTTGCACCCCGCACCGGCTGTTTCCCAGGAAATAAGATCAATACATAATTTTAAAAATTAATTACGAAAGGAAAAATAAATACTACGAACTGAAACTAAATTTTCAATTTTTTGAAGACTTACTAGAAACGATCGTATACCTAATGAATTGATAAAGTGATTATCTTATCATTAATTTTTAACAATATATTTTGTTATATCGTTTTTTATCTTGATTACGTCGTAACGAAATTTTTGTTGCAGTAATCTCTAGGTTTGCACCTACCATTTAATCTCTAGTACTTAACAAAAACTACGTCTATAATACACAGTATGTTGTTGTGGTACTCATCTTTTTTCAAACACGTAACAAAGTGGTGTTTTGGGACTGCCATCGCACAATTCGTAAGTCAGTAGACACTAATCAATACTTTTCTAATTAATGTATTCAGTTTGTTTTCCTTTTCATTTTCTTGGGAGTCTCATACTTATCGACATTAATTGAAATAGATTATACCAACCAGGTTATATCGGAGTGTGAGTTTCACTCGAAATAATTGTCATCTATTGTACTGAGATAATTTTAGATGAGAAATTTATTGTGTTGGCTTCGTCGCTCTACATGGTTGTGCCTTTTGCTCTATCAAATGTATTTCTTTTTGGTATTCTACATGTGAGTAATTCCAAGAATTGTTTCCCAAAGCTATATAACTTGATTTACAGAGAAATCCGCTTATCTTGAAGGTGTTCATGATCGGAAGTCTTATAAATTGTGTAGTTATCTTGATCGTGGTGATAGGGTCAGGGATATTTTTAGCAATCGAAGGCACTGATTATATTGCTTACAGCTTAATAGCAGTAGGGATTGTGCTACAATGTAAGGAATATTGTCATTGAATGCTGTATTTTAAATCACGTTATTCTAGTATTCTTGGGCCACGGAATTTTGCTAGTCCATGGAACAAGACAAAAATATCTTCACGGACCGGAAGCCACCAGTGTAAACTCAGATAGAAACATAGAAGAAACTTAACTGTGATAAATATGTTATATTTCGTAATGTGTATACAATATTTATTATTAAAATAGTTTGTAAATTAAACTAACGCGAGTATAAACTAGTGTCATATTACTTAAACATAATACTGTGATTAGAAATTCGTTTAAAAATTTAAACTCTTCAGATGTTTGTAGAAACTGTGGACGGCAATGACGTTGTAGAAGGCAATCACTGAAAAAAAAGAACTGTATTAACAAGGGATCAAAATTTTATCAAAAGTACTTACGACACACAATAGTACCCACTGTCAAATGTCCTATAATAAAGTACGTGCTGTTTTCTCCAGTGTGATGTATTATTGCCACCAGAATCGAAATTATATACACTAAGATTGCTATAGGGTTAAAAATTAACCACGGCATCAAAAGCACTGGCCGATTCTGAAATATGAAAACAAAGTATCATAATCAAATCACAATATAGAGTATTTTTAAGTGCGTAAAGTTATTTTAGTAAGTTTTGCTTCTTATTTATCGAAAATGTTTATAGTTTTTAGTATTGCCAAACTAACAATTATTGGTAAGAGTAATTAAGTAATTAGTATTCACTAAGACGTTTTTCAGAACAGTAGAATTTGAGCTTTTGTTGGTTCGTTAGTTCGCTTCTTTCAGATCCTGCAGGTAGTAAAATAAGTATATAAAGTATTTTGACCATACAACACGCCTACCGTCTGCTTCTTAGTTTAACATGTAAACCGAATGTGGATGAAAACAAGATAAAATTTGATAAAATCACACACAAATTGCGAAATATGTAATTAATTTTAATTAAGACCGATGTTTTGTACAGTGTTGGGAAAGTAAATTTGATAAAAAAGTCGCGAATAGAATTTGATGATGTCAGAGATATTATTTTTAACTGGAAACCATAAAGTTTTATTGCGTGTTCTAAAAAACGGTAAAAATAATTTTTGGCTTTGTAAATGATACCTACAAAAACTATATATACTAATTAAAAAATAATCTAAAGTTATTTAAACAAAATTCCCTCGTCCCTAAAGACAATCAGACAAGTCCAGTTTTTATATAAATTATAAAATGTTATTCTACGTATATTATGTTTTCTGTGACAACATCTATACATTAAAATAAAGAGCAGTATTATGTCCTTAGAATAAAAAAAAATAATAACCATTTTTTAAATCAATTTAAAAATGAGTTAGTCCTGTACAAACACTTCTAAAAACGAAGATAGATTTGTTTAAGAAATATTTACGATGACATCATTAATTTATTTCTAGGAAGAATAATAAATGAATTGTAATCGTTGAACGTTGACCATGAAATCAATATTAACAATTGGTCAAAAAATCAAAAAAGCTTCGTTCGTAGGTAGATTTTAATGCACTAGCAATTGTGTAAATTTTGTTTTTACAAATTTTGTATATTTTACGATAACTCAGTTTCTTATTATTACAAATGTACACACATTCATTCAATCACAAATAAAGTTCGTAAATTCCAGGCAAGATTGACATAAATTATGACATGACGACATCAAGTTTTAGGAAGCTAAGTGAACTGATGAATACTGATTAAGTGAATAGCGATGTACCGTGTTCAATATAAACTTAAAATGCATACACAATTTTAGCGCAATCGAATTCAAAGTTTCTGAGTTAAATTGGAAAATTTTTTTGTATAATTTAGTTTTTGAATATCCATTTCCTGTTCAAGTACAGATGATCTGGAGTTATGTTTTACTGTATCTTGAACGTGTGGAGTGAAAGACAGTTTTATTACAACATGTTTCGACTTTTTATTGATAAATTAGTCATCTTCAGGTATAACAAACTAAAAGAGGTTGTTAAATAAGTATAGATTACCTGTCAAAAACTCACCGAGGATGTAAAATATGACATGGTTTGTGGTAGTGTTAATAAAATTATAATAACATACGGTTAAGATGATTAAAAATCTCAAAATTCCACAAAATGAGGCATTTTTCGGTAATGGCGTGCTTTTTTGCGGAATGGAAGCGGCGTAAATTGCTCCTGCCACACGTTCAAGAGACGGTAAAACATAATTCCAGATTGTTGTATATATTTTGAATTTTCTTCCAAAATTTATATGCGTACTTAGAAATTGAGTAAATCAAAAATGGGGACAGACTAAGAAATGACAAATATATATAAAAATTTTCTACATTTTGCACAGAATTACTTGCCCAAATTTTGAGATGACGTCTATAAATTTTGGTTGGGATTATTCTGATGTTTCTTGGCGTTTGATCATATACCCGATATCCTCAAATTATAAAGTTTCACTGTAATCAGTCTAGTAGTGTGGGAATTCTGTCTAATAAAATAGTCAATAGACAGACGATAGACCCCAGAAGACAGACACGCGAAAAGGGAAGGATGAAACACCTAGGAAACATTATTTGTTGTTAAGGTGTTTTTATTGAGTTTGATTTATTTAATGAAATCGGACACTTATTTTTGGACAAGAAAAAAATCTAAATCGGACACTTATTTCTGGACGGAGTATTTTGATTGATACTTACGACGCATTTCGCCCACCACGTTGGCAACAATACTAATCTAGTTTACGACAATTATCATAAAGGTTTTGTTAAAGTATTACTTCTATTTAACAATGCAGACTACAGCATTACTGATTATAAAAGTGTGTTCACATTATCATAAGTTAGGAACAGGAGTAGTATCACCCCCAGAATCTATCAAAATCGTTTGGATTTAGTCGACCATAAATTACTCGTTGTCGCCGCAGCCGTATCTCCTAATTCAGGAAGCGTACAATGTTCCATTTTAAAATAAATCCAACAAAGATCAAAATGTAAAAATTTAGGAACGGTCAACTTGACAAAAAGTCAATTTCTGCCTGTGGCTTTTAGGTGGTTGCTTATGTAGAAAAAAGACATGTTTCAACATTTTTTGCAACATCTATACAAAATGTAAATAGATTTTTGGTAAATTAGTTTCAGCGTTTTGCATAAATTACACATTGAAATTTCAATTTGTTTGCCAAATATACTTCACTCGAAAAATGACCACTGAATCAGATTCTTTGTAAAACTGTATGTTTTTATTATTATTGAAGTAACGAAATTTTTATTTTTTTTAATCTATTTTATCGTCTCCTTTAAATCGATAGTACTACAATTCTCATGTCATCAAGTCGACCAGCAAATTTCAAAATTGATCTTAGGACGTAATTTTTCTCGAATTTCATCCCTGATTTCTCTAGAATTTATTCCAGACTTTACAGACATTAGAATAAGCATAATAATTGTTGAAGCATTGTAGTCTGAAATGAAATAAACTATTAAAAATCTGGAGAAATATACAAATAAATTCATAAAGTAACCATCAATATAATTTTTTAATAATTTAAACTGTTAATGAAAAAGTGGCTTTTGTATATTGTCTTTTCTCCGGGCAAATACATCAATCTCCAAAAATCTGTTGCTTATTCTTCCAATATTAGCGTTAATTTTGCTAATCTTGGGTTTAGAAAAGAGCACCTAATAATTATTATCAGCCTGCCATTAAATAAAGTCATTATAAAATAAATTAAACATAAATACTTAGCTAAGCAAAAAACAAATCTGTATTTTCTTTTGTTTGTTTTTTTTTTTTAATTTAGCGGCCATTTAAAGTCGGAAGTAAATCTAGCGTAACAGCATAAAGAAAAAAGTTTAAAAAAATGAAAGAGGATCTTAAAAAACAAGAAATAAACAGCAAATAATTTATGTTCGGTAGAATAACAATAATTTTATTATAACCGAAGTTGTACCAGTTATCAAATTTTTAAGTGTTGTTATTATTATTAATAAATAGTTAACAGATTATTATTTGAAAATTATGGGTTTTATATGAATAATTAGGTATATAATACATATTCCCTAATTGACTTTACAAGATAAAAAAAGAATATATTTGCGATTTAAAAAAAATGTGAAACGAATAAAAATTCTTGTTTCGCTTAATATAACTAATTCTGCAGTTAAATCGACAGAAGTGTAGACAACAAAATCTAAGTGTTTTTTATTAAATTATGGGATAAAAAATCTGCATTATTTAAAATTTTTGTAGGTGAAATACTTTATGTCAAAGTTTGTATTTTTTTGACTCTTTTCTCTAAAGTAACAAATAAAAAATGTCTCTTGTAAATTCACTCCGAGGACATACTGTGTATAACTTGTACAGCAGCTTATAAAAACAAAAATTTGTTAACCACGTGCAGTTTAAATTTTAGCGGCAACTTTTCCTCATTCCGAATGTGGGTTAAATTTTAATAAACATTCAGAAAAAGTGTAATGGCACATAAATATTTCAATTTAAAAAACAAACAAGTGAACATAATTTATAAATAAAAATTTAAGTGTTAACCGGAACAGACATGTTTTACATAAATGATGAGTTTGTTAAAGTTTATAAAAAAGTAAAATGAATGAAAATAAAAGGAACGTAAACGAATCAACTAAACTGTCACCAAATGTGTTAAGGTCAATTTAATTATGTTTTGGAGACATTCTAATTAAAATATTCGACTTTGCCGTCATTGTCATAGTGTATGACATCACATCCTCTGCAAAATCAGAAAGAACTCCTCAAAAACTCATATCAACTTTCTAATTTTATAAAACAGATATGCACTTTTACGTTGCGGAAGTAATAAAAGAATTACATAATATAAGACAAGTAAGTGAAAACTTGATAAAAATAAATTTGCGAACCGTTTAACGATATTTTACAATGTATGCAAGAACTTACAGTTTCAGCCCCGAAAATAAGCAAAATAGACAGAACACACTGCACAGCACTAGCGACGGAGATGATAATCAAAAGACACCTTAAAACTGAAAAAAATGTTACAGTTAAGTCTCTACTTGCGATAAACTTACCTGTCAAATCTGGGACGATGGAAGAATCTGACAGGTCCAACAACTCATGAGGATGTTCTGCGTATGCTGCTGTTAATATCAAACACATAAAAGCAAGAACGCTTTGTACAATTCCAATAATAATGGTCCCATGTTTTAAGCTAAATCCACAGCAGTTCGTGATTTCAGGTGCCATCGTAGCTGCAACAAAATTAGTTAAACTCTCGGTAACATTTACTTGTTTTGGTTGGGTTCTTTCGTTAGTTTCGCAGCCATATTGCGTATAAAATGCGATATTAGTTGTGCAAGACGTGAATTTTGCGAAAACAATAATTAGCATTTTAAAGACATGTACTTACATGTTTGTACAAAAACGGCAACAGTAATATCTATATCACAATTTTAATCACAACTTGTTACGGACGCACAATAAAAGGTTGTTCTGGCTGTGTTGCTGTTGGTAAATACTGTTATTTGGTAATCAAGACATGCCTTTCTAAATTACTCTTGTAGGTAGATGGCTGCAAAGCATTGTGTGAAAGTTACTCACCTGTGGACGTAGGTTGTTGATTGGTTCGGGTTACGGATGATGACTAAGACCTTGGAAAGTTGATACAAACAACGATTGTATCAAATACCTATTTTGTTCTGGCAATATGGAAACTTTAATGAAGTGATTTTACTACAGCGTAAACTCTAAACCAACAAAGAAAACTCTCATGTAAATATTCTTCTTCGTTGAGATATCGATTTATGTAAATACAAAACTAGACTATTTATAGGAAAGCCTTCAGCTAAGTCTAAAATTTTAAAATACGTAAATGCAGTTTGTCCGCAGTAGAGGGTAGTCTTCAGAGCTGTTCAAATTTCATGACCTGCCCCATCTGAAATTTGTTAGTAATCGAGTTCAAGTACATCTGGTTCAGGCGAGTCAATATAAGTATATTTAAAATGGTGTTCTGGCCCAGTTTACATTCATGGGTCAATAATAGTGTCTAAACTGTTTGCAAAATACCATGAAGCTAATTGTAAGTGGAATCGTTAATTTAAATTTTGATGCTAACATTTATTTATTACACATTTTTAGCTGTTTGTTACGTTGGTGGTTCTTATATTATTTGTTAGTGATACTTTTGCACTAACACGAGGTAAACGTGGACTGCATTTGCACTTTGGATCTTCTAAACATCACGTCGTACATCATGTTCACAGTGCTCCTGTTCTCCATACTTACCATGAACCAATTATCCAACATCATGTGATAACGCCAGTTACTACTGTACATCATCATTATCTTATTTAATTGAAATTAATTATTAACAGGTGTATACTGTACAAATGTAATTTATTTAATAAAACGAAATTAATAATTATCAATGTTGTATGATGTGTTACATGCGTGTTATTAATAATTAACTCATGAGTTTCGATAAGAGGTATTTATAATATATCTAAGGATAATAAAATATTAACATGCTTTATAAACACTAAATAAAGAACGACGTATAAATATCGGAAAAACTGTTCACATGTTGTAGTAGCCTATTATACAGAGATAATTACTGGAAAACACACAAAACATCAATATAATATTTATTACATGTTTAAAAACATTATTCTATCCTTAGGGATAAGATATTGATAACTGTAGACTAATGCAAGACCATAGCTAAACTTCGACACACACATTTTATTTAATTTTCGATAACAGTTTAAAAATTTAACCATAGTCTTGTTTTATATAGTTTTTATAAAACAACTTCATTGAATGAAGAAACACTCAAATAGTTTTTCAAAATCTTAAAAAAAGTCAATAGTTTTGTTTGGAATACACAGTTCTCCTCTATTATATTAAATATCAGCGAGTAACATAATTTGTAAGTCATCCTTTTAGCATGACGGTGATTACACCACATTGATAAATATTAAAAACAGTTTTAGTAAAATATGCTTGAAGTTACAAAGAAAATTGCCACAAGTTTAATTAATTGTATTAAATAATAGTACATTATGGAACTAGTGGATGAAGTTGAATTTCAACGGCGAGAGTGATTTTTTCACACGAGCGAGTGCAACGAGCGAGTGCGAAAAAGAAACTCGAGCCGTTGAAATTTCTTCATCCGCGAGTTGCATATACTATTTTTTCTAAGAAATTAGGAAATAAATGTTTGTTTATGGTAGGTATTTTATTTTTGAAATACATTAACTGTAATAGAACAATTTTCGGTATGTTAGCTCATAAAACTTTTTAGACTTTTCGGGTATCAGATTCGAAAATGCCGCATTGGCAGCATTCAAAATTTCTTCAGAAACTTCGTCAGTCTCACTCATGTTCATTGTTTTCACTTGTGTAAACTAGCAGTATTAAACGTCAAACACTAACGGGTCGTCCAGCCTAGGCGTCATGATTTTCGAAGCGCGCGAAGCGGACGGTGCGGTCGGTGCAGGCGATACGCGACACGTTTCGCTAGCTGCGAAACGCTCAGGCTGGACGACCCGTTAAAATCGTAGACGGCCGAGTATTTTTCCACTAGAGGGTGAAATGAAATTTCATCCACTGCCAGCGATGGGAAAATGACAAACTTCAACCTTAATGAGTAGAAAAACAAAATTAAATTACAGTCAGTGTTGAAAATGTTGCCAGTTTGTTATAAGCCTAAATGAGCTCTTTGTTCAATCGATCAGAAATTTCAGCATTTTTACATTATTGTTTATGTTTTTAAACAAAACTACAAAAAAAGTCTGCAAGGACAAGATTAGAAGATCTCGGGGGCCAGACATTCTTTGTATTTCGATTAATTCCCGTAACATTATTACTTTGTTTGCAGCTGAATACAGTGTAGCCAGGTCTTGTTGAAAATAGCCTACGTCCATTACATCGTCGTGAATTTGTCGTATAAAATCTGACAAAATTTCTTGTTGATATTTAACAGTGGTTAGGTTATCTTGAAGAGGATCACATTGAATCAGTCATTTACTTACATGATTATTGTTGCTATGACCTTTAACGAGTAACATAAGATCCTTTTTTGATTATTTGCACCCCAAACAATTTTTTGAGAAGGAAGGGAAGTTTCAATATAAATGTGGGGATTTTTTGTACTCCATATTCTCATAATTTGCGAATTAATACTCAAATAAAACCATGTTTCTTGTGCAAAAAAAGTTTCCTAACAATCGGTAATCAAATGTATCGAAAAACCACTGACAATAGTCAATCATAGCTGGAAAATCGGCTTCAAATGCACATGCACATATTACTTGAACCGGAAACAGTGCTAAATTTGTTCCGCAATATCCGGCAAGCTCCATACGATAATTGCTTTTGCTGCGCATAGATGTTATACGGATCCGTTCGATACATTTCCAATATTTTTTAGAGTTCTCTTATCTTTCGACTTGTCACTTTCCTCATTTTTTTGTAGACACGATGTTTCTCGGAAGTTTGTCACAGATCGTTGTAAAAATTGGCACAGTCGACGATATTACTGGAAAATTCTTCCCGGAATTCGTCTTAAAAATGGGCACAATCGACGATGTTACTGAAAAATTCTTCCCAGAATTCATCACAAGTCGCTTGAATCGAGTATTTTCACACGACTCAGTCCTACGCAACTAAAGTTCTGAAAAGAGCTGTTTCTATGTAAAGATTATTTATCCAGGAAGCAACTACAACCAAGAAAATAAGATAAATGAGGTTAGAAGAGGCGTTTGATGTAGTAATTCTGTCGCAAAATCATAGAGAGATCGAATAATAAATCATTGTGAAAATTTTGATGTAGTCTGTGTCTTACTTTGACGTTTAAAATTTAAAAAATTTATCACGTCGCGTCCACACAAAACTGAAAAAAATAAGGTTACAGTACGTAAAGGTTGTTTACACTTTGTGACAGCGGAATAATACTGACGTTGAAGATTTTCTGGCCCCGACTGTATAGTGGTTGGGCAGAACCGTGCTTTGGTCGAAAAAAGGGAACATTAGTGGCAGTGGAGAAGATGCCGATAAAAGTGTTGACTCTGGACCATGACATAGACAAAGGAAGGCGGTGTAGAGATGTGCGTTAATAATAGTTATATTATTAACGAACCTGGGAACAGAGTGATTTAATTCTCAAGTACTGACGATTGATCAATAAGATGTGTCTACTTTCATACTGACAAAGAGTTGATATGTAAAGGTAAGTGAGTTTGCAGATTGCACTTGGCTGTAATTGTTAGATTGGTATGTATTAATAATCATTGATCAATAAGTGTTTTTTTTTTATTAAGGTATCTTTATACCTCTACCAATGCAGTTTTTCCACCACATCAATATTTTGAAAATTTTGCAGTTATAATTTTGTCCTGAAAGATATACATAGATTTTCTGTTTCTGACAATATTTTCTACATTATGACGTTTATTACCCTACAACACCGAAAATACAAAATTATAAAATTTCTCGACGCGTTGTTCCAACTATGTTGATAATGACAAAACTAACCTAAACCTAAAGTGAAATTACAACTACGCTAGTTTCTTTTCGTACTCTCCACCCTCTCTAACTTCTCAAGGACGTAGCGGGACAATTTGAAACTATTAAGTTCATTTATGATATTTGTTCAGAATTTCAGATTTCACCTCATCATGTAATGAATTCACATCTCGAAATCGTCCCTCAACCCAATATCTTATTAATGTGATTGGTATAAAAAAACTTAATCGGAATCTACAAAAAAAAATGCATCTTTTGGGTTAACTAAAATGTAGAAGTACTATGTAGTTAATAAACTTCAAGCAATTTATATAAGTTTACCATGAACAGATACTGTATCAAAAAGAAATTTGTAAAGTCATTTACATAGAACCTCTCTCACTCCTAACATATCATACATACTACAGGATAAACTCTCTTAGAAGATTATTTAATACTTGTTGGCGTTTGATGTGTATAGTCGCGGGCATAGAAATCTGAACCATTTGGTTTGACACACAATTCCAAATTTAAAACATTTTGGGGTTTAATTAAAGACACTATCCGTTTTTGAAATCAGGAGCGTACATTCAAATTGCTATTATGTATAATGTTAAAAAAAAACGATACATTTTTCAATGGCCGCGATTGTACAATACATAACTAATTACAGTTTAAAAACACTAGTTTGCTAAAATATTAAAAAAGAAATTGATTTTCGAGCGTCGCGATATTTAATATTTGTGTCTGTTCTAATTTTAAAAATTACCATTACCATATTATTGAAAAAAACTTCTTCTAGTGAGCCAGGGAAATATATATATATTTTTAAATGTGTTGGCAAAATCTGCACAGTCACAACTATTCGTTATTGAGGTTATGGGAAATTACTCGCATAATTCATGTCACGTCCACTCTTTCTTGGTCTGAACATGTCTTGAGTACTATTAGAAAGGCGAACAAAATGGTGTATTTGTTGGGGAGAGCATTTGCGAGAAGTCATATATCTGTCATTAGCAAGCTCTATAAGAGTTATGTCAGGCCAGTTCTTGAGTTTGCCAATTACATCTGGTCTCCGATTCTTCAACGGGATATAGAGCTATTAGAATCTGTGCAAAGAAGGGCCACAAGAATTCCATTTGGTAGAATTCGGCCGCAGTATGCTGACAGACTTGTAATGATGGGTCTTCCAACGCTTTCCAATCGGCGTAAGAGAGGTGACCTAATTTTAACTTTTCGGGCGCTTAAAGATCCGCAATCACCCATCAGGCATTTGTTTCCCCTGAATACACTTAGTAGAACTAGAGGGCATTGTTTTAAACTAGTGAAGGATAAATTCCGCTCCACAGTGAGGCAACATTTTATTTCCAATAGAGTTTTCGAGACGTGGAACGCCTTACCAGCCAGTATTGTTGAAGCTGATACAGTGACAAATTTCAAAATTAAATTTGATAATTATAATGGATAAAATTAATTGGATGCGTTTGTTAGGTAGGTAGTTAGGTAGCGCGGGCATAACAGGCTAGGCCTCTGCCCGAACGCAAAACTAATAATAATAATAATAATAAATGTGTTGTATTTTATATTAGAATGTTGAGAACACTCACCCTTTTCGTGCTTGACTCCATTTCAGTAATAACTATAGACAATCAAAACAGTATGTACTGTCTTAAGTATTTTTGTTATTACACTGACAATATAAATATCAAATTGCCAGGTAATTTCAATGGAAAAAGTACTGTCACTACAGTTTTTGAAAAAATTAAATTTATGGCTCAGTAGAGGAAGTTTTTTCAATCATGTGGTACATTGCACTTCACATTTGACATTTGGGATGATAAGGTATACTATACTGTAGGAGTGTTAACAAGATATGTAGCCCAAAATTTTTATTTCAAATTCCTTACAACAAACTTTGCTAGTGAATATTTTTAGATTTGACATTTTCAGGAAATAACAACACGTACATTTAGGAAAACTACTGGATCTTAAGAATGTTATATTAGAGACCTTTAATTTTTATTTTATCTATTTTTTATTAATTTGTTGTTACTAGATATTTTTGATTAATGTCATATGAAGTACTGCAAAAAAGATGTAACTGGCAAAATTGTGTAACCGCTGATTGTTGATGCCGTTGATATAAAATCTAATATATATACATAGTAGTATGTAATGGCCGGTGATAATGATGTGAAATTCAAATGGGGCACCAATCAAAAAGTTGCGAAGTCTTGACCACAGGGTCTCTTTACATATACTTATGATCGCTGATTTCCATCTACCATTAATTACACATATTTACGTAACGTTTTAGGATCGAAAGTGACATTCACTTCCATCTCTTGGGTGGAAAGTGACAGATAAGTGACATATGTCACTTTCCACCCTTGACATTGAAATGAAGTATGTAATAACTCACTTCCAAACTTTTAAAAAGTTTGAAAGTTTTACATTACTGACAGATTGTAAATAAAAATGATTTCAATACGCCACGGGGCTTACTTAAGTGTTTGTATATATTTATTGAAAAGTTCGCTAGTTTATACATTCGGGACATAAAAAATTACCTACCGTTATTAGTTAGACAGAACTTCTTTCGTCTTTAAAGTACAATAAAAATATCAATTAAAAAAAAAATTATAATATTAAGTGTAAAAAAAGTGACTGATGAGGGAATTGAATCTGCGACTCTTGCCTTATTAATACGACGTCCTAACCAACTGGGGTAATGGGCCGCTGCTCAGCGTTCCTCTTATACAGGGTTATTCAGCTAAGATGACCTATTTGTGTTTTTAAAGTAGGCAACCCATAATACCGATTCCACTTGAGCCTGGATTATAAAAAATGTTTCAAAACTGAATTGTATCAAAGAGTCAGAAAAATGCCTATGCATTCTTACGATAATAACGAGAAAACCGACATGTTTGCCGAATCTAAAAGAGATTTTGGTGAGTAAATTGTGGTTTTTTATTGCCTGGTAGGTGAACGAAACACATTTAATAAATTTAAGGCTGTCATGCAACTGTAATAAATTGCTGACTTTGGCTTCATCACTGAACAAAACACACTCAATAAAATTGGGATTAATTTGCATTTGGTTTCATATAAATTTATAAAATTCCAATCTTTGTGGTTGGTTTGTGGGTCGAAGGGCATGCTCCAGGTGCAGATGGTTAGAGGGGTTAGGATGAAATTTATTTATTTGTCTAGCAATAGTAATTTGTCCCATAACTCCCATATGAAGATTCTCATTAACTTGTGCAAGAAGTTATACTTAATTTTCCAAGCTAGTCGCAGTCTGGTTCCGTTTCCTTTTGTTAGCAGGCCACTTTCTTACGCAACGAATTTTCTAGCCTCTTGAAAATTTTGGGTGTTGGGGCCACACGCTCAGGGTATCTTCGGGCATACAATTGTGCTGTACGCCTAGCTTTTTTGTGTCATTCTCCATAACGGGTCCATAACTAAGGATCATGTCGGTTTTCTCGTTATTGAATGCATAGGCGTTTTTCTGATACTGACCAACGTCAACACTGACACTGCTATACGCTTAGCAAACTTTTTGTAATCCAGATTCAGGTGGAATCGGTATTTTAGGTTGCCTATTTTACAAACATTAATGGGTCATCTTAGCTGAATTTTGATTTTTTGCGAAAATTTGGATGCCTAGAATAAAAAATCAAAATGGATTCATAAACCACAAGTGCTGGAGTATGCTATTTTATAACATCTAAACAATATTTACCACGTAAAGTTTTGGTGATGTTATCAAATTATTTGCGGAGGTGACCAATTTTTGGTAAGGGTTTTACCATCTATACGATATTACTAAAATACCCATATCAGTTCAGTAGTTTCGGAGATTATTTGCTTAATAAATATCTACACAGGCTACAAACAGACGACAGACAGACGATAGACAGACAGACAAACAGACGAACGACAGACAGACAGACTAATTACAGTTCAGTCTCCTCCATACATTAGTATTTCTTGCGCACACAGCGTCTTCCAAGCTATTCGTGGAAATTAAATCTTAACGTGAGGGTTTCTTTAAATTCTGGTTGTGTTTTTGTTAAAACGGTGATCTATTTAACATTTACCGAAGTAGGTATTTTAGTTTTTGGTGTTAAATTACTCGAATAGAATTGTTTCACAAAAAATATTTCTTTGAAGAATCAACAATATGAAACTCTTTTTTTACAAAAAGAAGGTGGAACTTACATGTTTTTATTCATCTTTACAGAAGTGTGGCAAGCTAGGTTAAGGTAGGTATATAACTCAAAACGGCTTTATTTTTATATAGAATGTTTAAACCAAATTAATGTAATGTATGTCAAAATTTAAAAATTATTTCTCTACGATTATTAAAAAAAGCAATAAACAAAAAATGTATAAACAAAATAGATAGAATGAGACAATTTTGTCCCTGATATGTCACTCGATTTTAAATATTGCCCTCATTGAAGCATATCCTTCCTGTATCTGTAGACACAGAAAATAGAGTACATTTCTAGTAACATCGATTAAAAGTGTGGTAGTGTAATCGATCTTTGAATCTCGATGTTTTTAATGCAAAGTGAAGGTTTGTACCAAACTCAATAATAGGTGATAATTTTGTAATGGGCGCACTTAACTAAATTGTGTTGACAGTGGTAGTAGAATTTCCTTTATTCTAGGAACTTAAATTTTAGTATAGAGAATGGTTAAATCATTTCATTTGATGAAAACAATAGAACCGAATTTAATTAATTGAAATCGGCCGAATTTGATCAAATTTGTGATATGAAAAAGTTTACCAAGGTATTTTGGCTTAAAATACAAAATATAGCTATAAATAAATCCAAGATATAAATTTGTGGATGTTTTTTTCTTTTTAACTTGAAAAAAACGATATCAATTCGTGCACAAAACAGTTTTTCGCTGTTAATGACAACATACATTATTTTTAGAATTAGTTATCCAAATACTTAAATATTGTACAACCCTCAAAAAATAATTTTTGCAGTTTTGTGTATAGACTTCTATTGGTTAACATATGCGATGACCTAGGTATCTAGCGCTTTCTTAAAATTACTTAAGGGAGGATTCTCGACTATATTTGAAGACTTTCGAGAGGCAGCATTCAAAATCTATTAAATAAATGTAGAGAAAACAGTCACTAAGTTTTTTCTGGTAATTTGTTTTAGTACCACAACTCATCGAATATCAAATAAATTTTGAACACTTTCGTTTATTATATACATCATATATAACATTATCTTAAGAATAACATCTTAATTATTTTTTAAGTAAGCATCCACTAAATGGTATTTAAACATTGTGTTAAATATCTATTGACCTCGTGGTAATAAGTTACACATTACTTTACATTATCTGGAACGCTAAGGGGTGTTTACTGGTCGAAGACAAAAGTTTGGAGACGGAGCGAAGCGAGTTAATTTTCTTTCCGCGACTATTAGTGAGTGACTTATTTGCTTAAAATATCAAGCATGGAATTTAAAATAAAAAAAATCTTGAATACACGATTACTTACCGTTCAGCTGAACAGTAAGTAATTTGCGTACCGTTCGCCTCTTCGTTGTTAGTCGTAGCAACCCGTAAACTGAACTTACTGCTATGGAAACCTGTACGGTAAATGATCGAAAAAGCGATAGTCGTACAAAAAAGTACAAAAAATGTTTTTACCACATCTGCTGCAGTTTATAAATGTATACTATCTTATTAGCTTCAACATCAAAATATTATAATATATTTATTACTCCTATTTTTGTTCCAATGTACGTAACGAAAACCTTTAGCTATGTACAAATACCCTGCTGCTGTTTAAATAAATACTACAAATACGATTATATGTAGACTGGGATAGGTTTCTCCAGAAAGTATATGTAATTTCTGGTATATCTGAAGCACAGCAACACTAAAAATTAAAAAGAATAGATTTTTGTTTCACAATTTGTTTCAAATCTTTCTGGTCAATAATATAAACTTGATTTTAATTTAAAATTCTTCTACTAATGTTATTAACAATACTTTTGTCAGCATTTTAACTCATAATATCACGTCGTTGTTACAAACAAATATTTCGCAATTTATCTGAATAACTGAACAGTGATAACCTGAAACAGAAGCTCTGCATACAAAAGGTATTTAAAAAGTCAACATAGGTTTTTGTGTGATTATTGATGTCGGTAGCATTGTTAAAATACATGAATGAAGGAAGGGCCGTTTGTTTAAAATACCTCTGCATATTTTGTTTTCTCTCATTAATATGCAAATAATCTATAATATTAATAATAATATTAATATCAACCAGAAAAATTTGAAACCTGATTAATGGTAGGTACACATACGCGATAATACAATTAATTTTATTCCCAAAAAAATGTGCAATCGTTCTGCTGGTATAGTACACAGTAGAATTATTATCAACAGAATGTAAAGACCAGTGATTACCATATCAGTAATAAACCACCCTTTTATTATCCGCGGATTGCCCTAAAAAAGACTGTTAAATATTCACGCAGATACATATACAAAGTCTTTAAAATATTACTTACCGGTCGTCCCACATAAATGAAATAAATTGTAACGAAAACATGAAGTAGATTGAGGGCGATAATGATGCCTAAAAGAATTTGTACACCTAAAATAAAAAAAAAATGATTATGTACTCAGTATTTTAAAGGAAGTGTTTTTGCTTACCAGATGAAGAATCATATACTGCAAGAAATGCAACACAAAGACCGAAGGAAATTAGTGCTATTGTTGTACGCATGATTCCAATAAAAATAATTCTCTTTGTAGGTGACGCCGAGTGGAAGTCGCACCAGTCCGGCAAAACTGGAACCTTCTCAGGCCTTAAACAAATAAAAAAAATTCGTAAACGTTGCATAATAATTAACGCACGATGCTCTTATTGTTGTTATGATAAATTTTCGTGGTAAATTTTATCCAAACACCATTTATTATTGTCCTAAAAAATAAAAAAGAAATGTCTCGTGATGGTAGGTATATTCTGTACTACTTTTTACTAAACTAATGAAAAGTTTTTAATAAATAAGAATGTTGATTAGAAAAATAAATGTTTTAATCATATAGAATACATATTAGATTTACAACTAAATTTTGACAATGCGCTACGTCTTCAAAACTGCGTTTTCTTTGTGTCAAATAATACTGAAATAAAGTCTGCAATTTTATAACGTCAGCAGGAGTCTTAAATATATATGTTACGGTTAAAGTGAATACTCGGCTAGTTTCCAAACTAACTGGTTGTTATGCAAACTAACCAAGTCGCTAGTTATTATAGACGAAAAACTATTTTCTCTTACATTAGCAGGGTTTCTTGGTTAATTTGTAAACTGCCCAGCTAGTTTATAAACTACCGTACAAGTTTGGATGATTTACATACTTTTTTTAAAGTACATAAATTAACCGAAATAATTTGTTAGTTTACAAACCAGCCACTTTGTTCCGGTTAAAATAAGAACTTTTTCTCTAGTACGATAAAATAACCAATGAATTGTATCATTGCCTGCATTGAACACTAAAACAACTGTCTGTTTGCATACTAACTGCCTAAAATATGATACAATTCATTGGTTATTTTATCGTACTAGACAAAAAGTTCTTATTTTAACCAGAACAAAGTGGCTGGTTTGTAAACTAACCAATTATTTCGGTTAATTTATGTACTTTAAAAAAAGTATGTAAATTATCCAAACTTGTACGGTGGTTTATAAACTAGCTGGGCAGTTTACAAATTAACCAAGAAACCCTGCTAATGTAAGAGAAAATAGTTTTTCGTCTATAATAACTAGCGACTTGGTTAGTTTGCATACAACCAGATAGTTTGGAAACTAGCCGAGTATTCACTTTAACCGTAACATATATACAACATACATTGCTTATTTTTATAAGTTACCGCAAATTCTGTAAATCTTGAATCTTATGAGAACCAATAAAAATTGTTTACTCTAAATTTAAAATTTTCGGAAACTGAATTATATTACTTTAGGGTATTAAAATAAATCCGGTGCATTTGTGAAATTAAGTATATTGGGTGTTTCTCATCGATGACACTATGCAGTAACACATAACCAAAGATTATGTGCACAGAAATGTATGTTAAACAGGGTAAAATCTACTATATATCATTACCGAACTGATTTCGATTGAGTATTTTTGGCTTAAACGCTGTCAGACAATTACCAAAATATCGATTAACTTACCATTGTGATTTGTGCGCCATTTCCACAACACGTTTAGCTACGAGTTCTGCAAAATTTTAAGAAAATTTATTATAAATATACTACAATGGGATTTCCGTTGTATAAATTTTCAGAATGCAAACCAACACAAGGATTTCACTGGAAATTCCATACAAAGTGTCTCTCTCTCTCTTTATGCAGTATATTGATGGGTTATAACATATTACTTACTACATGTAATACTAAACACGTATCGCTACTAAATGGAATAAATAGACAAAAATAATTTGCTAATGTGATATCAAAATAAAAATTTTGAGACCTCACGTAATTTATATTCCTAGCTACTTAAAAATATATTGAAATAATTTTAAATAATTGTATAAAAAAGGATTTAGCACGCAAAAACGAGGTTACACTGTAAACGGTTCGTACATCATTTTGTTTTGTACACATTCGTGATCGTGATAAAAATAGTTACGGGATTAAAAAGAGTGGGGATAAATCAACTGCTAAAGTCAAGGTCAAATTACTGAATTTGCAGAATGTAGGATAGGCGTACCAACATACACGTACATGTATCATGTACATAACACCTTAAAATGGCTGGATGTTTTCTAGTATTAATTCAACAAACCACATCTACTTCATGAACACTTATTTTACTTAACTTGGGTCTAAAATTAACAATTACTCCTAATTAACTTATAACTATTACTAGTAGATAAATAATGAGATACGTCGTGTCCTAGAAAATAACTACTTAAAATACTTATAAATCATAAAAAAACAGATTGTTTTTAAAGCATTTATTAAAACTATTATTTTGAAATCATGCAACACTTTTGCATATACCTAATGTAACATATTATCATTGTCGCCATCATCTAATTTTAAAAATTAACGCTTAGGTTTTTTACATTTGACGTTTGAGACTAATAATAAGGTAAGACTACAAGTAGGAGTAATAACAAGATCTGTAGTTCAAGATTCTTGTTTCAAATTCAAGAAATTTTCCAATGATTTTTTTTTAATTTGACGTTTTCAGGAAACAACAATACTTACAAAAAATCGGACAGTTGTGATTTATGAAAAATTTAATTCAGTAAGTTATTACATCTTTAGTTCTTAGTTTATCTGATGTTTTCCTATTTAAAAACTGTTTTTGGCAGTAAAAAGTGTTGCAGAAGAAGTGCAACTGATATAAGAAAACCAAATTGTATGACAAATATAACGAATAGAATGCTAAGATTTTCTAATTAAAACAAGATTTTTAGAAACTGTTTTTGGGTTAGAGCAAGCCAATCTGAATATTTCTGATGTAGTTATTTACTCCACGGATTTTCTTAACTTCCATCACGTATCCTAAAATTTCACATTTCGATACACAGATCGTAAATAAGTATTACTTTTTCCTTATAATATTTTGGAAATATTTTTTTTAATAATGACGTCTTCAAATTAAGTTCACTTGTTTTATTAGTATGTGTATTAGCACTTTTGTTTTAAAATATGTATACATTTGTATTAATTTCCTGCTTTACGGAATTCTTCTTGGTCAGTGTTTTGTGTAAGTACAAACTATTGAATATCACTACAGCATAGTCAATATTGCAGTCTATATCAAGCCTGCTTTATACATATCCTGAATAGATCCTAAAATATATGAAAACATGAAAGATATATTTGGTAATAATTCTTTGCTACGTCACCAACCCTAAAGAGAAATGGATTTACAAGTAATCGCTCTGGTAATTTTGAAGGTCCAAGAGGTTCCAACATAGAGTGACAGGACAACTGATAAAGAGCGAAAGATAAACAAAATAATGCATTTTCGTTTTCTACGAATTGTGGAATGCCAACAACACAGATACATGAAAATGACTCGCCAGACACTTCTCTTCCACTATTGAGAAAGTAAATATAACGAGAAATTAAGAAAACAAGATACAGATTAGTCAAATTTATTTAAAGACAAATTTTAAATTAAATTTTGTACAACACTGAAAAGATCATTTATAATAATGTTTAATTTTTAATACTTTTATAATTATAAAGGAAAAGCCAAGATTTATGTCAAATTACAAAACATCTTTAAAAATATTGAAATAGTATGTTAAAGCTGTTTTTGAAGCTGTAACTTGACAATAATTAATGATTAAGTACATTTTTTCAAAACTCTTAATAACAGGGAAAACATAAATGCTTACGCTTTCGGTTTAGCCAGAAAAGAACTCAACTTTTCTTTGATTACTCCCAAACCCGTTTCAAATTTTCTGATAATGTATTGTTTGTTCAATACATTAACACTAAACAAGTGTGTTTATATTCTGCTCGTACAAAAAATATTTTATTTATATGAATAAACAAAAACCTACTTGTAAACCAACGGTGGACACTCAGTATATATATTAGACAAAACAGATATATATTGTACTAGCTGACCCCGTGAACTCCGTTTCACCTACAATTTAATTTTGAATCTGCAAAATCGAATGCTTTGAAATCTTGCAGATGTTTTAAACATATGATAAGCATAATAAATTTGTATTCAAAATATATTTACTTATCCCCTCAAAAAAATTGATGACGTCAGCCCAAAATTTTGCCAAATGAATCCTATCTAAAATGTCCAAAATAGGATGAGACTATACTTGTGATTTATCATTCCATTCATATTTTTTAGTTTTGCTTATAGGGGGTGTCTCAAAAAAATTAATCACTGAGTCAATTTATTTTATTGATTGAATCAAGAAACTGAATTTTGAAATATTGCAGACGTTTTGAAGTTACTGTTTGACATGGTGGGTTTTCAATCAAAATATATCTGTTTATCAAACCCAAAAACTTAAAGACGTCATCTCAAGATTTTGCCGAATAAATCCTATCTAAAATGTGGAAAATATCATCAGTATATTTTCGTAATTTATCACTGCATTCATATTTTTCAGATTTGCTTTTACAGTGACTCAAAAAAATATATGGATCAGTCAATTTATTTTAGTGAATAACTCAAGAGTTGCAAAAATGAATACTTTGAGATCTTGCAGACGTTTTAAAGTTATTGTAAGCATGGTAAATTGTTAAGAATATTTATTTATTCCCCCCAAAAAATTGATGGAATGGCTCACTCGATTTTCGCAGATAATTTTGGGAATACAATACAGTTATTTTTAGTATTACACTGCACCAATCCAAGGTGGTATATCTACGTGTTGATAGTAAATGTTGATTAGGTCATCACAAAATACTGTGAAGAAAAGACTCAACTCGAAAATGCTGAATATGTTTCATTATACTTTTGGTGCGAAGGAAGTTCTGTCGAAACAACGTTCGATCAATTTTTTGACAATGGTTGATATAAATAAAACTCAGTAGATGCTCATACTCGAAATACGAAGTATCTACTCGAATATCAAATCAAAATATTTCTAGTTTTTCTAGATGATACTAATACTTCAGTAAGTAACAGTTGATGCTCAAGTAGCATCTCGATACAACAAAAAAGGACAACAGTGACAGTGTTCAACCATCAAGGCAAAAATCGAGTCACCAAAATATAAGTTAGTATGGGGTAGACACCTTGTGATGGGAATCTCTATGGCCAGTGTTAGAAAAAATGCACTGCACAATTTATGAATAAATAAAAGTTAATTACCTGAAAAGTTTTCGATATTCCTGCTCCTAATGTGTTTTTCAAACTGAATGCACCTTTTGACGACGTTTCACATTCATGAAAGTCACCATGTTTAGTTAAAATTCACTCTTATAACGATCCTACTGGTTTTCTAAGCTACCTTACAGACAGCTCAGTTATTTGCCACGCCTATGCTCACATCTAGATTAAATGCTCGCAAAACGCGTAGATGTTCAGTTTGTGTCCGGGGAGATACAATGTTTCCCAGTAGGTACTCAGTACATAGAGTAGATGCTCAGGTATATAACAGTAATAAATAATGAAGTAGGTACTTCGTACTTCAAATATGAGTATCTACTCAGTTTTATTCATACCACCCAATGTCTCGCTTCAATGTATGATTATGTTGATTATGAGCATAACGCTGATCAACTTCCATATCCGAATTACCCATGAAATAAATCAATGCGGTTTGCACCTGAGGTAGTTCGTCGCACATTTGATTGACTTCGTGGACCTATGTGAGCTTGTCGTCTTCCCAACATTTTAATGAACTTCATAAAACGACACAGAATTATTTTCACAGTCAATCAAATCTGTAAATTTTGTCTTGAGAATTTTAAAATATTGAAAACTTCAAATTAAATCCTCGAATAACGGTAAAGTTTGAGGTTTTGTCAAAACCAACAAAGTGAATGTAGGTAAATAGATTGGCAGATCAAAATGAATAAGAAGCTTTCGCAATATGTAATTAAATTTAACCAAGACTTTTCTTAAAATAAACGACGTTTTTTTTACGAAAAAACAAAGAACGATTTCAAATGCAATATATGTACTTTTCACAATCACACGGAAGAATTAGTTTTGTATGACACGTCAGTTAGACGACAGGTCCGTCAGAGACGCCAACTATTGACAGTAATTCGAAGTGGCGATTCCCATACAAAATGTTTAGAATTTTTTAATTTTTTACTGTTCTTTTAAGTTATCCTTATTTTTTTTATTTATAAAGCATCCCCGTAATATAAAAAATGTTTCAAATCGGTCAAGCCGTTTTTGAGTCTTAGCGTGACTAATAGGAACAGCAATTGATTTTTATTTTATAGATGATTAATAAATGGGGGTTGGTGGTAGAAAGGTGAAAATTTAGGATTGTGTGTATTTTTTGATGCCAAATCTTAAAAAAATAAAAATAAAAAAATTTGTCAAAAAAATAGCCAAAAATTTTTTAGGGTGGGCCACCCTTATCACTTAGGGGTTTAAAAAATAGTTTACAACCTATTGTCAGACCTACCGAATAGACATAAAAAATTTCATACAAATCGGTCTACCCATTTGTGACGCGAGAATTTTATACATAATGCATTATTATTTTAGAACAAATTTCATTACCATAAAAAAGGTTATACTGACTCGACCTTAAAAGATAGACATATGCTGTCGCGGACTTTTCTTTAGAACTTTTAGAGGGGAACAATTTCGTTATACATGATTTTTACGTAACTTTAACCGTTTAAGCAGCGTAAGCAACGGAAGCTGTCAAAGGAGGAATAATTTTCCCGTTTTTCCGAATTTTTCATTGCTACTTCGCTCCTAATGATCGTAGCGTGATTTTATATAGCCTATATGTAGATATGATACATGGACTATCCAACACAAAAAGATTTTTTGAATTTGAACCAGTAGTTTCTGAGATTAGCGTGTTCAAATAAACAACAGCTTCAGCTTTATTATATAAGTATAGATAAACAATATTTTTGGACGACAGTGGTAAAGTTTGTAGTTTTATAAAAGAAAGCTTTAGTTTTTAGGCGGAGCGAAAAATTACGTGGTACATTTTTAATAGAAAATTAATACCCAGCGTCCGCACGATATCATGTAACGTATTACCCGTAAAGCACTATGCGTCATCTCTGTTCTATAAAACTGAAGGGAATCAGCTAATCATTAATTCGTTCCAATCGAACATGAAAACAAAAATCAATACCTGAATGCAAGGCAAAAATGAATTAAATTTATTTTCATTAAATTAAGCGTCAACAATTCATAAATGAATAATCTAAAAAAAAAAAACATGTCTCCTTTCGGAGGTTAGAAGAAGTATTTAATATTTATTAACGATTCTCACCAAATTGCTACGTACACCAACTTTGAGCAAGTTCCTTCAAATGAATAATCTATCGCGTTTTAAGCGTGTTAATAATGAACAATTCATATTTACTTGGAGCTTCGTAAATGGTTGATGTTATCCCCTCTTACGACCAATCATTATCCCCTCAATACCCTCGGAGTCTGACAGTGGCGTAGTGTCATCTTTGCGATTTGTCTGTATAAAGTCTAAACAAATGGAGACACCGTTTAGTGAATGAAACCGATTCGTCGGAAAGACTTGTTGTTTTTACTTTTTCCTAAGTTGCGTTTAGTTAAGTTCTCTTTTGATTCGTTGAAGTGTTTGTACGGTTGTTGTCAGAAGAGGAAAGAATTTAATAAGAAGAAAATGCGGTTGCCGATTAAAATTGCTATTGGGTGTACGATAGGGGCTGTCGTTATTATTATTTTTGGATTTATTGCGTTTCCTAAAATGATTAAAGGGAAAGTGAAAAAAGTAAGTGGTTGTGGTGGCATGGTGTTATTAAGGCACTGTATATGCAATGCACATGCACCTGTTTTTGATTTAGAAAATTATGCCAAAAAATAACATAGCATATGAAGGAAGAGCGATTAATTTGAAGTGGAATATAACTGTTTAAATTTGTTGCTTTATTATTTTTGTCATAATTTACTAGTATTATATTTAAAATTTATTTTAACTTCTAGTGACGTAACATAATTGTAGTTTTTGGTGCTTTATCATTTTCGTTGTCACCAGCATTACAAAATCAAATTTAATTGTATATTTTTTTCTGCTTTGAAAAACGTGTATATGCAAGGATATATTAAGTGTTGAATAACTTCAACGTTTCCGGTTACAATGCAAAAAACTGTCGACGAATGTGTGGGTTGTTATTATTATTGATGACAATAATTCAGTAAGGTCACGTCCTATTAGCAAAATAATACTACCTATACAACATTTTTTTGTTACAGTAGTTATTTGTTTACTTAGGAATTGCCATTATTTGATTATTTCAAATTGAATCTATTAGATGCATACTTGTCTACAGAAGAATGATTTTTCGATCGACTGCTTTCTTATCACGGATAATGTCGCAGATTGTTACAACATTTTCACATAAACTTTTGTTTGTTTGTCGTTTGTTTGTCAAGAAGATATTTTAAAGAATCATCAATAAATAAACTAGACTTTTCATTATTTAAGAGGTACCTACACAAAAATGTATACATTCAGTTTTTTTGTCGTTACGTAATAAAATAAAATTAACTGAAAGCGCTATATCAAACGGAATCTGTTTGTTAAAGAACTTGGAACTTAATTATATTTTTAGTATTTAAAAGGTGTAACTATTAGGAGTACTATATAAAATAGAAGCTCAAAATTACAATATACTCTGTATGCTATACCTTAATTTTTAAGTTTCAAAAATATCTGTCAGAGCTATTCAGGTAATGCATTTTCTCTGATCACTCGGTGCATAATAACATTATACGTTTAAGCAGGAAAACAGTGAATAATGTAATTCAGAGCCCAGACAAGAGCGAGTAAACCGCCAGTTCAATAGAGAGATAGTTTTTTTTCAAATTCACCTATATCCATTGTGTTGTAATAATACAATGCAAACTCAGGTCTACAGAGGAAAATGTAGATAAAACAATAATTGTTAATCGACACAGCGTAAACTAGACTAAATTATTTAATCTGTAATCAAACGTTTACTATATGTAACGGGGACGCCTATGGACCACTTGAAAGTTACTACTCCGGGCTCCGGTAATTGCTATTTTTTTAATCACTTCTTTCCATCTTTGAAGTAAATTAAAAAGTCCTAATAAACTTCGCAGGCTCCTGGGCAAAAAATTGTTGAATATTGCAAATCATTTCCAACGGTGGATTCTGCAACAGAACACCACTGCGTTTTAACCCGAAAAATGGTTTTGAAACTTCAGTTTTTTTTTTTGCTTTAAAGTACTGTCTACGTGTATATTTAAAAAGGGCAGTTTAAGAAAACTCCACATTCTGTAAGCTTTCAACTTCGGCGTACAAGTTTTTTTTTTATTTGACAGTTTCAACAAAAAGATGCGCCCGTAAAAGATCACCTACTAAAAAAGCTAGAAACTTTCTAAACAATCCAGTATTTTGATACTAAAAATCTGAACAATTTTTGTGAAATACTGCGTTTTAGAAATTTGACTAATTCTGCTAGGAAAGTGAAACAAAAAGTACACAATCTCAATCTGAGCGTAGTCTCTCGGTGGTTGTATTACAACGCAAATCTATTAATTTTGCTTCATTCTAAGTTAAACTTCATAATCTGAAAAATTAATTAAAATACTCAATATGAATGAACTTTATTTAGTTCACTATTTTGAGAAGACGTCACCCATTTTTATCAGAAGATATAAGTTTCGGAGATTATTTGTCTAAAGAATTTCGAACAGATCATATAACCTATTTACTATGTAGATACAATTTTGAAATGACGTCATCACATTATTGGTAGGGATGATTAGACAAATTTTGGCTAGCGTTTTACCGTTTACATGATATTCCTAATATAAATACAAAATTTGACAACAATAAGTCCAGTACTTTCAGAGATTATCTGTCTAATAGTAATCCGGGCAGACAGACACGCAGACGGAAACGGGAGATTTATTTCTTCGTACTCTAGGGGTCATGAAAGGTCTTGAAAACATAAAAGTAGAAAGTCGGCCGATGGCCTCGATTACAATACTTCCTTCAGGAAGTAAAAATTAAATCGATTGCTGAGTTGCTTGATTTTCAACAACAGGTGTCTCATAAACTAAAAGAAATAGAAGTATTTTTTTTATAAAAATTTGCCTTGTTAGTGTTGTTAATTTACCTAATAATTTATTTCTGACAGCAATGCTCGATTGTCATCAGTTAGAAGTATTACAATCTGAATAACTTAATTACGACAAAAAAAAGCTAAACTGTCAGATTTTCATAGAAAGCTCGAAATTGAAACACTCGTGAACGGTTAATGGTTTCATTGAGATTTCTTCAACTGAGGTCCTGTTAATAACAACTTCTTTTGGAAAAAATCCAAGTTGATAAGAATTATTTAAAAATAGTTTGAAGATACTAATCTTTTGACGTTTGTGGTCAAATAACTGAAAATATAACTGCTTCTTTTGCGATTTGCTGAGATCTCGATGATATGTAAAAATATTAAAACTTGTATGCTAATTACGCAAATACAAATTATGGGTAAGAGCATACCAGTTAGCAACATTTTGCCTTGAATACGTGACCATTATTTGCATGATTTTAATTTGTAATAATACAACTTCTATTTAATCAACGAGTAAATTTGTCAAGTCTTCATGGTTCGTAGATATCATAGCAATTTTGTTACGGCATTCAAGTACCTACTTTAATAATTGTAAAATGTAATCAATTGTTACAAAAATGGAACATTTCAATGTTGACCGTATTATGTAATTAGGTAATCATACACTGAACTTTTAACCGTTAAAGGTCGTTTTTAATTTTCTTGAAAGATCTTGTAATACACTTTATTTCATATCAGTATTCCAGATACAAAAGAATTAAATAAAACAGTGGAGTAACTTTGACTCTTGTTTTTAAGTTTTTAAGAATAATTTTAACAAAAAACGGTTCTAGAACTGACTTGAGCTTTAATTTCGGAGGCTTCCACGGTCGGAGTCAATACATGAAGTTTGTCCGGGTTGGGACCGTGTTAATTGAGATTTGGGCTCAACGTTTCATTATTTTCATTTTCAAAATTAAATTGAAAAACGTTACTCCTATAAAATTATGAATTTTTTACCAAAAATCTGGATGTCTAGCGTAAAAACTCAACGCGGATCACACATGCAAGAGTATGTTATTTCATAAAATTTAAAGAACAATTATTGGTCAAAATTGTAGAATTACGCTATAATTTTTTAGGGGGGACACAAACGAAAAAATTGTTATCAATGATTTAACATGCTTAAAGCGTTTACAAGAATCCAGAGCATTCGCTTTTGAAGTTTTAAAGTTAAATGGCAAAATGTTCTACAATTTTGTTTTTTTTTTTTAATTTGGATGTCTAGTGCAAGAGTAGCTTATTTTATAAAATTTAAATAACATTTACTATCGTAAATTTTGAAGATGACGTCATCTCATTGTTAGTGGGGATGATTAGACAAATTTTACCATTTACACGATATTCCTAAGATACATATAAAATTTGGTAACAATCGGGTCGGCACTTTCGAAAACTGTCTGTCTAATTAAGTTGACAGACGACAGATAGACAGACGAACACGGGTGACTTATTTTTTAGAAATTAGGTCAGTCTCATGTTTCCTTATCTCTGTCGTCTGTGTCGATCTCATATATATGCCTTTTTTTTTTCTTACCTGACTAGTTTACCTGTATTTTAGCAGTTCATATATATCTCTGCTTTAAATTATAAGGATTATTTTAATTTTATATTTTTTTGGAGAAGCTGAATTTATTGGATTGCACTTGAGTGGGTGTAAATAATCTTGGACAATTTTTTTGTAACAAGAAAATCTCGATTTTTTTTATTTTAAAATGATAAGAAATATATTTTTTTATTAAAAAAACTAAACAATTTATCAAACAAAGAGAAACACTTATTAATTGTGACCGTCGGCCATCTCCGCTTCCTGTTGTGAGTTTATGGTTTCTTAGAATAACGCATTTGTATAAATGCAAAATTCAGTTCTCAATAGCAGAAGAGCCGCTAACAATCCACTGTTTTCTTTGATAGTTTTGTGTATGGTTACTGTGAGTGACACCTTATCTTTAGAATCGCTTGTACACAATGATTCAAAAGAATTACTGAATGAGGCAATTTGTTTTATTGATTAAATTACGAATGGCTTACCCTATTTTCCTGAAAACTTCGGAATATTGTACTGTTGTTGTTAATATTACATTTCACCTATCTAAATTCATATATGTATTCTTGGTAGGATATTGATGACGTCAGCACACATTTTTTTATTGGAAAGACCACTTCAAACGCTTATCTTCATTTTAAATTATGAGGGGTATCGCAAAAAAATTAAATTTGCAAAATTAAATTTTATAAATTTTCGAATAAGTTGCATTAAACTTCACGGGGGAGGGAAGTTCTGTTCAAATAACCTTCACAGCAACATTTTTTACAGTTGTAAAATACTAATCGTATTATGGAATCGTTATAAAAATTGTTTTTTCTACCGCGCACGTTTTTCGGTTTTCTAATACAGCTATTAAAGTACCCAAATGACGTCATAACGGTTCGTTAATAGCGGACAGGGGTTCTGAATAGATCTGGTGTAATTTAGATCGGTAAGATTGGTAGCCATGACGAGAAATGTCAGGTGAATGTCAGTGGCAAATGTCAAATTAAAATTTCCCGTATTTCGGGAGGCGTAAGGACTTCACTAACTTCTTCACAAGACATTTTAACCAATTTTAATTCGAATTGATTCGAATTACAG